GATTTCTCATTCAGAATGTTTTTCTGAACTGGAAATGTTATTATGGTTAACTTTTCTACCTGGCAAAGATTGCAGATATTGGCTTATCTAATTTCATACATATGTTACAGTTGAATCCATTACACACATTTACGTGCTAATACCCTTGGTAGAGGTATGAAAACTTTTCTTCTCCCCCCAGCTATTGGTAAATAGCAAGACATACTGGGTTCTATAGCCTTGGATGACAACTGGTCTAGAAGGACAACTCTGAATTCAAAACCTGCGGAGGGTCTTTTGGGGACCTTGTGGCACATAGTGCACCAGGTCTCTGTATTCGGCCCTTCAAAAAGTGTAGTTGGTTCAGCACAAAGCCTTCACCCCTATAATCCAGTCATATGTGGGAGTGTCTAGCTGTCTGTTCATCGAGACTGAGTTACTTGACACTCATACGTCGAAGAGTCCATTATATATATATATATATATATATATATATATATATATGTCATTCGCAGACATTAACTGTTTCGGGTGTCTATTCGCACTGAAGAGCTGTATCACAGCTCTTCAGTGCGAATAGACAACCGAATGCCTCAAGCCAGGATTGAAATCCAACCGATTTGGTGTCAGTCAGATTTTTCTAGCACTGAACTATCTTCACTCGAAAGAATGAGGCAGCCAAATCTAGCGTATTGTCTTTATAAATATAAACAAATGCCAAACAACCGGAGTGCTCCATACATTTTACTTAATTTTATTTAATTTTTCTTGTGTTTTTACTACTATTAATAATAATAATTGATATGTCCCCGAAAGGGATATATTTGATTGAAGTAGCTAAGTGGTTTTGGCTACTATAACCAAGTAGAATACGGTAGCAGTAATCGACTGGTACGCGTCGTAGTCGCAGGTAATAGGTGTAGACCAATAGAATAGCCAATGGCGTAAGTCCAATGGGCGTCGTCATAGACTTAAACACTGTCGTACCTACACGTCCGTCTGTATTTATGACAGACACCAGCCAATCATATTCCAGTGAGGGGGAACTCAGGTGTATGCATATTCCATTATACCAATAATAAATATATAACCCTTGTTTTTGTATGTTTATTTGTTTCTTTCTTTCATACATGTGGCAATCGTCAAGTGCAATAAAAAAAATTGCAAGTTGCACAAGACAGCCGTCAGGTGCACGAAACTCAGTTATACCAAATATATATTTTCTTGTTCAGCCGTTAAGAAAGTTGGTTCACAATGTCGTGCGAAACAGTTTTTCTCTCCAGAATCTGAGTCTGTCTATATTTCTGAGATGACGTATTATGTACATTATTTACATTATTCGGACTATTGTCCTCATCTTTGTCGCCATATTTATTACAACGATTCGGCCTTTCAGTATCTGTCTATATTTCTGAGATGAGGTATTATGTACATTATTTACATTATTCGGACTATTGTCCTCATCTTTATCGCCATATTTATCACAACGTTTCGGACTTTCAGTATCTGTCTATATTTCTGAGATGAGGTATTATGTACATTATTTACATTACTCGGACTATTGTCCTCATCTTTGTCGCCATATTTATCACAACGTTTCGACCGTTGTACGCTCCGGACTTCTTCAGGTGGTTGGAACGTCGAACTGAACCATTTATTTCGCTCACTGGGGTAGACCGTTCTAGTTCCACGTGCCATGTTTGATGGATGTCAGCTATCAATTATCTCCTGTTTTATCTCCTGTTAATTTTTCCTCTGAAAGTTCTCCACTGCCTTAACCGGGTATTGAACTCACACTCTTTGGGTCTTGTCACTGGATCTAACCAACGTCTTTATCCACTTTGCCATGTGGCACAGTGGATAAACATGGCACGTGGAACTAGAACAGTCTACCCCAGTGAGCGAAATAAAGTCGCCAGAATCTATCCTCCATATCTATATGTCTACCATTCGTCCATGCTTAGAATATTGCTGCCACATATGGTCCGGTGCCCTTGCTATTTACCTTGAGCTCTTTGATAAAATCCTAAGAATCAGCAATATTATTGGTACTCATCTGGCAGCTCGGCTTCAGTCACTTTGCCATCGCCCTAAGGTTGTCTCTCTGTGTCGTTTCTATAAATACTTTCATGGTAATTGTTCGAATGAGCTCTTCACTATGGTACTTAGACTTTATGTATTTAAAGGCAGTACTAGACTAGCGTCGAGATCTCCTCAAATTACATTGGTACTGGCTAGATGTAGTCATAAGTTCTATGCTAACAGTATCTTTTCTCGCACTTCTCGTTTGTGGAACTCCATTCCGGCTCCATGCGTTCCAGCCGACTTTAATCTGAAAACATTTAAATGCAATGTCAATTGCTATCTACTGTCCTCCTGATTAGTCTTTTCATTTCCCGCTCATTAGTAATGTTCCTGTTCTTAATTCTTCCACACTCTGTAACCTCTTATGTTTTCGTGACTTTACTAGCTTGTATGGGGTGATACCGATTAAATCCACACACACGCACACACACAAACACACACACACCACACACACACACACACACACAAACACGCATCACACGCACAAACGCACACACATACATACACGCATACATCTATATAATATTATTTGGCAATTAGTAGGGATAATATAACACACACACACACACACACACACACACACACACACACACACACACACACACACACACATATATATATATATATATATATATATATATATATATATATACCTTCAAATCAGAAAAATGTTGCAATATCTACTAAACCGAAACGGAATATGCGTTAAAGATCAGAACAATTGGTCTTTATTTTAAATCTATCGTTCTAAAAATTAGATTAATCACACACACACATACACACACACACACAAATATATATAATATTATTTGGTAATTTGTAGGGATAATATATATATATATATATATACATATATATATATACCTTCAAATCAGAAAAAGTGTTGCACAAAGTCCAATATCTACTAAACCGAAACGGAATATGCGTTAAAGGTTAGAACAATTGGTTTTTATTTTAAATCTAGCGTTGTAAAAATTAGATTAATCATTTCTTTATGATTTTACTGTCCGACGTTGTTTTCGTAATTTATTTTGTAAACAAAGGCATGTACTGAATGAACTTGGTGATATATTAATCATAGGAGATACATATATCACAGCACACTTCTTTTCGTTTAACTATTTTTCATCCAATACAAGCCCCAAATGCCACTCAAAGTAGAGGGTTACCGAACAAGGTTGTTGTATGATTGTAAATGCAGGAGGTAAATGGTGCAGATTATGTCGACATGGAGGTTAGATAACTATTGACTTTAGACTTAAAAAGGTTAAGATTCTAGCGATCGGAGAAATAGCTTCTCGGGAGTTTATCCCAAAAATAAGTCTCTGAATGGAAGTTCCTTCTTATCAATGGAATACGAAGGGAATGAGGGTGATTCAACCCTGTGTATGTCGCATTGTGTGTCCTTAGATATAAAGGTCTAAACTAGTGAAACCAGCACATCAGAACATTTTACGTGGAAATACCGATAAAGTAGAGAGAGGCTTGCGACATTTCACCTGTAGAAAGGTGTTGTAGGCTAGTTGTAGGGTTGAAAATAATTCATCACTCACAAGGCCAGGTACGCTTTGGAACTCTAGGAAAGAGAAGGTTGGTCAGTTTTAGTCCACATGATCGTAATACTCCATTTTTGGTCTGGTGTATCTGGATGAAAAAATAGAGTCAAGAGGAGTCAAGTACAATCTGGAATAGTAAAAGAAATCTTTCAATGCATCTTCGTTTGAATAAATTTAATTCGCGTTTACTTAAAATGTCATTTTCCAGGTCAGAATTGTGAGCACAAAGTTTTTCGGTGTCACACATGTGCAGTGAATGTGCTTAATTTCTTATTGTGTTCTTATTGTGTTCAGATGTTCTTATTGTGTTTTTATTGTGTTCATATTGTGTTCATATGTTCTTATTGTGTTCATATGTTCCTATTGTGTTCATATCTTCTTATTGTGTTCTATTTGTGTTCTTATTGTGTTCATATTGTGCTCATAGGTTCTTATTATGTTCATATGTTCTTATTTTGTTCTTATTGTGTTCATATTATGTTCATATGTTCCTATTGTGTTCATATCTTCTTATTGTGTTCATATTGTGTTCATATTATGTTCATAGGTTCTTATTATGTTCATATGTTCTTATTGTGTTCATATTATGTTCATATGTTCTTATTGTGTTCATATGTTCCTATTGTGTTCATATCTTCTTATTGTGTTCTATTTGTGTTTTTATTGTGTTCATATTGTGTTCGTAGGTTCTTATTATGTTCATATGTTCTTATTGTGTTCATATTATGTTCATATGTTCTTATTGTGTTCATATGTTCCTATTGTGTTCATATGTTCTTATTGTGTTCTTATTGTGTCCATATTGTGTCCATATGTACTTGTTTTAAATCTCGCGTTGTTTCAATTTATTCCGGAGGTATTTTTTAATATTCCATTTGGTAAGCAAATTTATCTGATGTAAAATTAGCTCTTTGTTCAATGTTGATTAAATATGTAACTGTTTTGGAAAATTCTTTTTTGAAGAATAATATTTTCTATATTACAAATGTCTTATACGTACACACACACACACACACACACACACACACACACACACACACACACACACACACACATATATATATATATATATAAAAGGGAGAGAGAGAGAGAGGGGGGATTTAGTGTATATATCTATATTTTGTTCATATACTTATTTGTGGTATCGTCTTTTTTTTTTCACTCTTTTTCCCTCATATTTAATCAATGCTCTTGCCTCTTTTCCTGCCTGTGCGCATGCGTATTTGCTTTGTCAGGAACTTGCAGCCGACCGACGGAACACGTGGTATTGATGTGACCAACAATTCCCGGCCGTATAAACAAATCAATCAATTTGCCAACGAAGCCTATCATCCAATAAAATCTCTGACTCTGTTGGCCGACCATTTGGGCAGGTCAGGACTAAACACAACCCCGAAAAGTTACGCAGGGAAAAGAGGCAGTTGGAGAGAAGCGGGCCGCAGAGGTGGATGGTCGCCTAAACAGCTGCAGAATGGATAGAGAGAGAGAGAGAGAGAGACAAGCTAAAAGGCTAAAGAATGAAAGAAGAGGGAGAAAAAGGTCAAGAAGTAAAAAGAGAAAAAGAAAAGGTGACCGAAGAAAGGAAATAACGAGTGAAAAAGGATAAAAGGTAGCTGACGAATAAGAAGAAAGCGAAGTTGTTCTAATGAAAAAGAAAGAAGAAGAGAAAGAGGGAGAAAGAGGATGAATATAAATAGAAGGAAAAAGAAAAGAAAAGACGTATGGAAAGAAAAAAAAAAGATAAAGCAAAGAAGAGAAAAGAAGAATTACACAAAGAGAATGAAAAAGGAAAAGGAGAGGAGGAAAGATAAGAACAGTGATTGAAAGAAGAACAACAAGCAGGTGGAGGACGAAAAAGAGGAGGAGAAAGAGAAAGAGACGAAGAAAAGAACAAAAAAGAAATGAATACTTTACGAAGAAAGGTGGAAAAGTAATTATCCTAATCGGAAAAACAATAGGCAAATATTAACAATGACTAAAAAATAAAGCTAGAAACAGTAATAATGATATATATATATATATATATATATATATATATATATATATATATATATATATATATATATATATATATGTATGTAGAGATAACTGCCAATCAATCATTAATAACTATAGGTTGTTAAATCGCTTGTGAACTTTCACAGAAAATATTTTCTGTTCAGTCTATATGAACAAACACACTCATTATTATGAACAAAAAAAACACTAAAGAAATTTCTGATTGGCTATTTCTACTAATTACGCAATTTGAAATCGCTTGTAACGAGACCCCCCCCGCCATACACACAGATTATGTCTTTCTGTTTCATTGAATGTGACAGATATATAGTAATTCTACGCTGTGGTAGATGAGATGTAGTAGGAATTCAATGTTGAGAAAACCAGCGCGTCACCAACATTGTTAAACTGAAGCTCTTTATATAAAACAGATGAATTCAAGTCGAAACAGTAGTACTATGTTGACTGTCTCCAACATAGAATTAGCACCAAAGCTTAGAATTACTACTACTTCCAAAGAATGAATCCCATAACACAAACACAGGAAAACATAGTATGAACGGCCCTTTTCGAAATGCTGAATGAATTAACTGAAAGCGCTTAGGACAATAATCAGTATGAGCACTTTCAGCACTCTCTTAATCCTCACAAAAGAGAAAATGTAAGAACACTAGAAAAGCTGAATAAAACACTTTATAAAATTTACCTTGTCTGTCACATTCAATGAAACATATATAAAAGAAAGGTTGTAGCCTGCATAATTATATTCATCCACATAGTATCATGAACGATCAGCCTGGACAGAAACACGATTGTTTCAAGCCAGGATCGAAACTCGACCGATTTGACATCAGTCGAAGACTCGTACCTCTGGGCTATCGTTGAACGGAACGGGGTAAAGGAATTCTTAGTGGATTATATTATACCTGTTATAAGCATTATCAGCTGCTAGAGTGCTCTATTCATTGCCAAGAGCTTAACATTATATATATATATATATATATATATATATATATATATATATATATATATATATATATATATATGTCATCTTGCCGATTCGTTACAAACGATTCTTAAAATTATAAAAGCTTAGCGAAGAGGTTGTTGGATTATCCAAAAATAATCTCATATATTAATAGCCGATATATCATAGCTAAAAACATAATTAATACCATTGCAGTTCTGCGGAGGCTAAAAAAGGGTTTCTGTCATGAATAATAATTTATTCTGATAAATGAAATGTGGTAAATCTTCTAGTTATAAGTTTGACAGATCTTCGCTCGGATCTTTGATACTGAAACGATTCAGTTCGAATGTGTCTAAGAAAGCATAACACAGATGATGACGCTAGAGTAAAAATGCATCATACTTTTGAAAAGAAAGATGATGAGAACAGAATTTCAATGAAGAAATATCTTAATGAATAAATCTTTTGTATTAAATTATCAAAATGGTTTAATTCTCTCCTTGATACTATAAAGTGATTTGTTTCCATTCTCAGATGGAAAAGAAAATAAGCTGAATAGGTTCCTAAAGATTATTTGCATTTATAGAACTGGTTCCTGGAAATTTGGGATTCCATTATTACACAGAGCCTATTGTCGAAATCCATTATTATATTAATGAACATAATTTATTCTGATAAAAGAATTCGCCTTGAATTTGAAAGTGTCAAATCTTCTAGCCATAAATTTGATATGTCTTCTAGTGGATCTTTGGGACTGCAGCAATTCAGTTTGAATTTGGCTAAGAAATCATAACACAGATGATGACACGAGAATAAAAAAGAATCATATTTCTGAATAAAATTTAAATGTGGAAATACCTTAATAAATAAATGTTTTGAATTAAATTATCAAAATGGTTTAATTTTTTTTGATATTATAAAGTGATTTGTTTCCATTTTCAGATGGAAAAGAAAATATGCAAAATAGATTCCTAAAGATTATTTGGGATGCCATTATTGTAAATAACCTTCTTTCAAACAAAACCCGAACTCACAATTCTTCGGGCCAAGTTATTTTTGGATCAATCAACCAACACTTTTATCAACTGGGCCGGAGACTAAAATGGCTGAAACGTCATGAGTATAACAATAAAGGTGAGGACAACAGTTCGAGCAATGTAAATAGTGCAAATAGTTAGAATACCTTATCTCAGAAATATAGAGAGATCTTGAAAAAGGCCGGAGCGTAGAACGGCCAAAATATCGGGAATATGACAATAAGGATGAGGACAATAGTTCGAACACTGTAAATAGTGCAAATAGTTAGAATACTTCATCTCAGAAATATAGAGAGTTCTTGAAAAATGGCTTTTGGGGTTTTTGACATCAATGGGATTGAGCGAGATATAAAATATTTGAAATCGCTTAGAGAAGAGCGCGATTTAAGAAAAGAAAAGACACAGCGTTTAACAATATTTTGACAGTAGGTCTGTTTTCAAATTATGTCTTAAAATGCGTCTAGTAAGATCATTTGAACAGGCTTTAATATTGTGCTGACGGCAAAAAGGAATTTATTCTAAGTAATATGTATTATAAGTAATATGTATCATAAGTAATATGTATTATATTGTAAGTAATTTTTGTTTAATTCAAGTACAATTTCGTAATTTATCGTTAATAATTGAAGAGTGTACAATTTATAAACTCCTATGGAAATATATCCGTACATTATTTACATTATTCGGACTATTGTCCTCATCTTTGTCGCCATATTTATTACGACGTTTCGGCCGTTGTACGCCCCGGCCTTCTTCCTTGAGGACACATGACACAGTAGATAAAGGCGTTGGATAGATCCAGTGACAGGACCCAAAGAGTGTGAGTTCAATACTCAGTTAAGGCAGTGGAGAAGTTGGAGAAGGGAATTAACAGGAGATAACTGATAACTGACATCCATTAAAAACATGGCACGTGGAACTAGAACAGTCTACCCCAGTGAGCGAAGTAAAGGGTTCAGTTCGACATTCCAACCACCTGAAGAAGGCCGGGGAACACAACGGCCGAAACGTTGTAATAAATATGGCGACAAAGATGAGGACAATAATCCGAATAATGTAAATAGTGTACATAATACCTATTCTCAGAAATATAGACAAATATATCTGTATGTTATCTTTATAAATGTTACATATTTACAAACAAAATTATGTTTTCTGCAAAAGTTCCCAAAGCATAATACTTTTGTGCCAACTTTGGAAGGTCTGAATAATCCTTGAGAGTCCGTAGATTTTCAATGTATCATTTCAGTCGGCTTATGCATTTGGTTTATATGTCAGTTTCATTTAATTCCGTTCGATAACTGTTCAAGTTTTTCTCCCCTCTGCTGTGGCTAAATATTGAACTAGTAGATAAAAACGTTGGTTGACTGATCCAAAAAGTGATTTGACGCAAGGAGTTGTGAGTTCAATACCACAGCAAAAGTTTGGAGAGTTGAATTATCGAGGGGAATTAACTGAAACTGAGATATCCAGAGGCATGGCACGAGGAATTAGAGAAATATACCCCTGGCTTTAAAAAAAAAAACTGATCTATCATCCTAAATAAATAAAAACTTAACTGATGAATGAAAAAGGATTTAGTGCAAAATTAGAGAAGTACCAAGATCTTATTTGGGAAGCCGAGAAGGATATAAATTGTAAAGGTGCCCATAATATTAAGAGCTTCTAAAATTGTAGCAAAAGCGCTGGAATTGAGACTCGATGAATTGGAAATCCAAGAAAGACTTGAAACTGTCCAGATCAATGTAATCTTGGGTTCGGTGAAGATAATGAGGAAGGTGGTGGACATTATATATATATATATATATATATATATAATTATTTTTATAAAAAAATTATAACATAAGTATGTTATAAAATCACTAAAAATAGCCATTTGTTTCAACACACTCTGTGTCTTATCAAGTGATGATGTTGAAAAAGAAAATAAATGGTTTTAAAAGTTTCAGATTAATTAACGATCCTACACTAGGGGGAAACATTGTTACAAAAGCTAGAATAACCAATCTAAAACGAAGTATAGAAAGATTCAAAAGCTTGACAACGAAATCCTGCTCTAATAGCTATTCAGATCTTTAAATACGTGTAATATTAAAAATAATTTATACTAACTAATAATTATAATTTTACATGATAAAATTTTATTAAAATTAAAACTGGCAATTTTAAAATCCAAATTTAATCACTAATAAGTTTAAAACTACAAAATTATTGAGAAAAGAAAAATATATATGTTTATTCAATTCATTTCTTCATTGAAATTACGTTCGACAAGACAAGACGCTATAATACATCCGGTCATTTGATAATACATGTATATATATTTTTTTCTTTTTCCCTTTCTTTTCCGTTTTTATTTTAAAGTTTGTGAATATGGTCTTAAACTCACGCGTGACACAACAAAAACACAATCAGATTATAATACATAAGCATCCAGACATAATTAGATACACACACACACACACACACACACACACACACACTAAAAAAAAAAGGAGAGGTGGGGGGAATACATGAACATCTCTACAGCCCTTTATGAAAAAAGGAGACGTGGAAACTAACACTTATACACACACACAGTTAAATGTGAATACACTCTACATACACATAGACACCGATATATACACATACATACATCCACAGACAATGGCATAGACATTGAGAAATCACAACCAGTAAATATTTCAGACTTAAATAAATGCTAACCACTTATTGAATTATAACTTAAGGGAGCAAATATACAAAGATAAAAATGTTTAAAATAATATTATTTAATATATTAAAACGAAAATTTTAAAACCATAAATATCAATAAAAATATATATATTATTAATCATATAAGTTGATAATAGTTTCATTATATATATATATATATATATTCAGGGTGCGATGGATAAAGTGTCGTCTAAATGAGGCAAAAATGATAATAACACTGTCATCTCAATTTAACAGATATATCTACCAAAATTACACAAAAATATCTTGAAATACTAAAGAGTAAAGTTATTCAATAAAATCGCCAATGGATTCCTACCACGGCCTCCAGACGACTTCGGGATCTCTTGCATCTCTTCTGGATTGTCTCCTTCTTTAAGTTGTTAAATGCTGCTATACTCCTTGCCTTCAGTTCATCTTTGGTGTTACGAGTTTTGTTGGTCTCTGAAGGGGATTGCTGTTTGGTGGGCAAGGTGGTCAGATATAAGGGGTGATGGGATATATATATATATATATATATATATATATATATATATATATATATATATATAAAAGTGAACGTTTAAGTCAACATTCAGAGGCGACAGGTTGTTCCAGGCTAGACGCAATCGTCAGGCGGCCATTTATATTTTTTATCCTTTTATATTTACACACGCTCTGTCTCTGATATTGAGCACTTTATCCCATAAATATAGCACACCTTAAAACTATATTTCTCCATATATATATATATATATATATATATATATATATATATATTAGATTAAATGGATTTAATCCGACAATAATTTATTTTCTTTGTACGTTATTTTTATGGATACAACTTTGAGTAAATGCTCTACTTTAATTAAACAGTATTAATTACATTTACAGGCCTGAATATTCGAGAAAGGGATCGAACCTGTAACTCATACGTAAACTGACTTTACAGTTGAGCTAGCTAGATCTAGCTGTAAGTTCATTGCTAATAATTTCTTTTCTCGTACTTCTTGCTTGCGGAACTCCCTCCCGGCTCCATGCGTTTCGGTCTACTTTAATTAAATTAAATGCAATGTCAATCGCTATCTACTGTTCAACTTCTTACTCTCTTCTCTTTCTGCTTATCATTAATGTTTCTAGTCCTAATTCTTTCACACCCTGTAACCCCTTGTGTCTTAGTGGCTTTATTGCCTTGCTTGGGTGATACCGATTAAAAGAATAGCCCTTATTATAAATGGTCAATATGATAATACATCCCGCTTATCGGCCTATCGACTCCATTTGGGCCTTTCTGCTCACATCGTGTTATTTTGATCTGAAGGAGTATCTATAAATCTACCATTTGTACATACTTAGAATATTGCTGCCACATATGGTCCGGTGCACCTGCTTTTTACCTTGAGCTCTTTGAAATACAAAGAAGAATCAGCAATATTGTTGGTCTTGATCTGGCGTCTCAACTTCCCACCGCCATAAGGTTGCCTCTCTGTGTCTTTTCTATTAGTAATATCATGGTACCTTGGCTTTTTGAATTTAAGCGCAGCACTAGACCGGTGTCCTGATCTCATCAATTTACATTTGTACTGTCTCGATGTAGCCGTAAGTTCTATGCTAACAGTTTCTTTTCTCGCACTTCTTGTTTGTGGAACTCCCTTCCAGCTCCATACTTTCCATCTAACTTTAATCTGCAAAAATTTAAATGCAATGTCAATTACTATCTACTGTCCTCCTGATTGCACTTTTCTTTCTAATGATTCTGTTCCTAATTTCTCCACACCCTGTAACCTCTTGTGTCTTAGTGGCTTTACTACCTTGCTTGGGGTGATAGCGATTTAAAAAAAAAGAATTACTGAATTTATTTTTTTAATCTGTCACTTACATTACTCCAAACGTTATTGCAGTAGACACTTCGTATTTTAAATAGACGCCACATTTAATGTTTATAATAACGTTTGAATATAATATATGTCAGATTAAAAATAAATTCTTTTGAAACTGCTTTGTTCACGTTTCGGATGTAAAACTAGGTAGTTATAAGCAATGAAGAAAGTTATTTTTTCCAGAACAAGGCATGGAATACAGAATGGCAAAAGGGAAATATTGGCGAAGATGAAAGGAAATAAAGGAATTAGTATAAATAAAGAAAAGAAAGAAAGATGGAAATGGAAGAAAGAATGGAAAATAAGAAGAGAGAATGTAAGAAAGAAGAGAAAAAACATTTAAGGAGAGAGGAAAAAAGTAAGCAAAAAGAAAAAGGAAAAAGAACAAATGTAAAGAAGAAAGAAAGCAAAAATAGAAGAAATAATGGTTAAAAAGGCGTGAGGAAAAAAGGAACGAAAGAAAGAGAAGAAAGAAATAATATAAGATAAAAGAGAAAGAAAGGAAGACAAAAGAGAAAGAAAATGAGAAAAACAATTGAAGAAAAGGATGAAGGAGAAGAAAAGGAACATATGTAGAGAAGAAAGAAAGAAAGAAAAGAACGAGAAAAGTAGTAGAGAAATCAAAGGAAAGAACCATGCCAAAGGAAGAAAGAAAGAAAGAAAAAAGAAAGAAAGAAATAAAGAAGAAGAACGCGTGAGAAACTCAAAGAAAGGAAGGAAAGAAAGAAAGAATATAAGAGAAAAGAAAGAAAAAAAGAGAGAAAAAATGAGAAAAAACAGTTGAAGAGAAGGAAGAAGCAAAAGAAAAGGAAATGAAATATTTAAGAAGAAAGAGGGAAAGAAAAAAGAAATCAAACAAGAAGAAGAAGAAGAAGACGGAATGCGTGAGACATTCAAACGAAGGAAAGAAAAATAAAAAAAAAGGAAGAAAAGAGAGAGAAAAAATGAGAAAAATAATTCAAGAGAAGGAAGAACCAGAAGAAAAGGAACTGGAACATATGTAGATTAGAAAGATAAAAAGAAAGAAAGAAAGAAAGAAGAAATGCGCGAGACACTCAAAAGAAAGAAAGAAAATAAGATAAAAAGGAGAAAAAAAGAAAGAGAAAATGAGAAAAAACAATTAAAGAGAAGGAAGAAGAAAAGGAAATGGGACGTATGTCGAAAAGAAAGAAAGAAAGAAAGAAAGGAAGGAAGAAGAAGAAGAAGAAGAAGAAGAAGAAGAAGAAGAAATGCGTGAGACACTCAAAGACAACGGAACGCAGCTGAAATGTTTCATTGAAGTACAACTAACATGCAAATGCCGATAACAACATGACAATAGCAAATAGGGGCAAAAAGAGACGGAAAAGGAAACAAGGGAATAGAGAGATGGCAATGGTGGCGTGGGGGGGAGATATATGAACAGAAAGGCAGAAAAAGAGAGAAAGAGGGGGAGGGAAGCTTGAGGAATATGTTTACTTATTCGTCCGGTTTGTATTTAGTGGTCAGTCCAGGTGGAGAGAAATCGCGCGAACCAAGGAACATGGCGCGATTTTCCCCTGAATGGCAATGGCATGGATTATTTGCGATGCACAAGCGTCTGAACTGGGAATTCGTATCACCGGTTGGCTTGACCTCTTCAGGGACATGTAAACAATAAGTTTAAATACTGACTTGTAAGAAAGAAAGGAAGACAGAAGATGTTTGCATTGAGAGATTCATAGGTAGATACAATATTATAGATTGATAGGTAGGGAAAGAGGAAAACTAATAAATACAGAGGCCGGAATAAATACAGGCAAACGAAAAAGCAGAGTTGAAAATAAAAGAATAAAAAACACTTAGATAAATTATGAGGAGACCGAAGTAAATATGAACATAGATATAAACATTATGATATATCCATATCTATATCTATTTACCTATCTATTTTATATATATATATATATATATATATGTGTGTGTGTGTGTGTGTGTGTGTGTGTGTGTGTGTGTGTGTGTGTGTGCGTGTGTTAGTGTGTTTGTGTGCTTTACGTATATACATACACCATCAAATGAATAAATATACATAAATGTACAATGCATAAGTGTTTACAAATACACATATCATTTGGTGTAAGAAAAATAGTGCTCAATGCTAAATGACAGAAAAATTAAATATATGTTAAATATTAATTAAAAAAAAAAACATAATACCCCACGCCAGCAGTACGGCGTGTGGTATCATATATATATATATATATATATATATATATATATATATATTGATAATATCAGTAGTCATCTATCTATCTATCTATCTATCTATCTATCTATCTATCTATCTATCTACAAATACAAAATATATAAATTCCCAAGAGGATAGAATCAAGGTAGAACTCAATGTCCAGGACAGAGCAAGAATATAATATAAAAGGATCAAACACTAATATTCCATGGTTTATTATTACATTGGAATCGTCATCACGATCCAGTTCATCAGAATTGGATCATAACTACGATTCCAATGTAATAATTTATAACCATGGGAATATTAGTGTTTGACCCTTTATATATATATATATATATATATTATTACATACATACATACATATATATATATATATATATATATATATATATATATATATATATATATATATATATATACTCGGAATAGATAGATAGATTATGTGGCGATCAAAGCAGATATAAACACAGATATAAACATTCTGAGATAGATAGATCTGAAAGTACTGGGATACACACACACACACACACACACACACACACACACACACACACACACACATATATATATATATATGTGTGTGTGTATATCCCAGTATGTTCAGATCTATCTATCTATCTATCTATCTATCTATCTATCTATCTATCTATCTATCTATCTATATATATATATATATAGCTAGATAGATTATGAGGTGACCATAGTAGCTATGAACATAGACATAAAGATTCTAAGATAGATAGGTTTGAACATATTGGGATAGATAGATAGATAGATTATAAGGCGATCGAAGTATATATGAACATAGATATAAACTGTCTGAGATAGATAGATCTGAACAGATGGATGGATACATAGACTATAATGAGACTGAAATACACACACATATATATATATATATATATATATATATATATATATATATATATATATCAATGATTTCACAGCAAGCAAGTTAATAAAGCTACTAAAACACAAAGAACTAATGAGTTTAAGTGAATATGGGAAAAAGAAACAGTTTATTAGGGGCAAGAACAATAAAAGAACAGGAATTAAGAAGATAGAAGATTACGATTGACATTGTATTTGAATGTTTATGATCAAAGTTGCCTAGGAAGCAAGAAGACGGAAGGGTGTTCTACAAGTGAGGATTGTGAGACAGGAAAGTGTTAAAAATAGAATATAGCGTGTGTGTGTGTGTGTGTGTGTGTGTGTGTATATGTGAGTGTGTGTGTTTGGTTACATAGATAGATAGATAATGAGGAAACTGAAATAGATAGAGGTGTAAGAGTAGACAAACACCCGCATATATATGTATGAGTATATGTGTTCTAAATACTGTTTGTCAAGGATTACTATGGAGGTAACAGCTTTTGACTACTCTTGTCTTGGCAAGTAACCTAGTGGAGTATGATTTGTCCAAGTATTGACTCACCAGTTCCTATCGTGGCACATTAATAATCAGAGATATTTTGTTCATTTATCTGGTGAATGGACAAAGTAGAAGGAAAAAGGGATTAATGCCTTCTGAAAAGGCATCCGTGTGAAGTGAACATATGTGGCCGAAAGTCAAACTATGTTTGTCTATTTTATGCCAAAAACTTTTATTCTACTTTTCCTTCTCTTTATAGTCCGTTTGCTATTCCGTCGCTGAGTTCGTCGTCGTCGTTGCCATGGCTGTTAAGGAGAACCCCAGCAAAAAAACATGGGGGAAATCTCCAAGGAAATGGGCGCAAGCAGGCGTACAATCGGGAGTGTTGTCAAGAAGGATATGAACTATAAATCTTAGGTACTCAATAGGGGCCCCACTTGCTCACCGTACCACTGGTCGATCGAATTCTGTCCTTATTCTCATCGCCACACTACAATCCTCTCGACTATTTTGTGTGGGACGTGTTGGAGAGGAATGTGAACAGCGTGCTCTATAACACCAAGGATTCTCTCAAGGCAGCCAGCGGGGATGCCATGGCCAACATGTACAGAGACGCCGTCGCCAAGGTCAACTACAGCTTCCACTCCTGCATGGAGAAAATAGTTGTCAATGGTGGTCACATCGGGCAATATTTGTACCTTATATATGAATCTAGCTGTGTGTAAAGTTTCATTGAAATATATTAATTTGTTATATAAAAAAACGTTGTTTTTATTATCCAGTAATTTTTTCCGGATTTATCTACATCACACTGAGTGTATATATGTAAGATTTAAGAAGCAGCTCCCCAGAGAGTCTGCCTAAGACAACACACTGTAAAAAGATGTGCTCAATGCCATAAAAATAGCAGAGTTTTAATATATATATATATATATAAGAAGAAATGTAGTCTTAAGATGTGCTATATTTATGAGATAAAGTGCTCAATATCAGAGAGAGAGCGTGTGTAAATATAAAAGTGAACATAGAAGTCAACACTTAGAGGTGACAGTCTGTTTCATGCTAGATGCAATCGAGTCACAACGATTGCATATAGAATGAAACTGTCGCCTCTAAGTGTTGACATCTATGTTCACTTATATATATATATATATATATATATATATATATATATGTATTTAATATATATTTATATATATATATATATATATATATATATATATATATATATATATATATATATATATATACAAATAAAATTGGAAGTGATGTTTGATGATCCAGCGTCCTTTAAAAGGTCTCTGGTAAAATAAACTATTACAATGGAGTCTTAAAGTTGTCTGTTTTTCTTATATATATATATATTTATATATATATATATATGATCATATATATATGATCATATATATATGATAAGAAGCACCCAATTCCACACTGTAAAAAAGATGTTCAATGCCATAAAATGACAGAACTTTAATATATTTTAAGTCAAATCTCAGGTGGGCAGTGACCAACTATGACATGCACTTTCATGCAATCATCAGGTGGTTGGTAGGTGTAGTTTGTAAAATAGGAAGCCTTATACCACCAGGCGAATCCAAGATGGTAAGCCTACCATACTCACCAGCGGGAGAGTAACATATCCAACTAAGATCAAAATAGTCAGGAAAAAAAAAAAATTATTCTACCAGAAAAGTTTTGCGTGTGTGACAAAAAATGTGCTCAATGTCATAGTGAACAATCTCACCATTGTAGAAGAGCTTAGTGCTTCAAGGAAAAAAAAAAGTACTTTGCAATGTCAGGCTACTAAAGTCACTCACATCAGAGCATTTACAATTAGAGTCAGCCTAAGATTGCACACCGGAAAAGAAAAAAAATGGTGACACTGTAAATGCACATGAAACTGGCAGTTGTGGTTAGTCACTACCCACCCGAGATCTCATTTAAAATATATTAAAGCTCTGCAATTTGTTATGGCATTGAGCACCTTTTTTTTTACAATATGCAATTGGGAGCTGCTTATCCTTATCATATATATATATATATATATATATATATATATATATATATATATATATATATGGTAGTACTCGTTTGGAAAAAACTCGGATAGCTTAACTTGCAGTAGAACAAATCGGTACTCGTGGAAAAATGAGAAATAAAAAAGAAAGAACCAAAAACATTAAAAAAGGGCGAAAACAATCGTCAAGTCTTTCAGCTCTAAGTCTAAAGAAAAAAACACAAAACAAGTAAGAAGACAACGACATAAAGTGTTCAGTACACAAAGTAGAGCGATAACCTAAGATAATCCTAAGGAGCCAGACAAACCTGCCTAGGTTTCACCTGAACGATTCTTCAAAGCCTGAAGATCCGTTTAGGTGAAACCTACGTAGGTTTGACTGGCTGCTTAGGATTATATATATATATATATTTAAGTAATTCATCGAGTCTGACAGAAATCTCAACAGAATGCAGAAAGCACTGGACGGCCGTTTCGTCCTATATTTGGGACTCATCAGCAGTGCAGATCCACTACCGAGAATTGAAACCCTGACAGGTTGTCAAGCAAACATCATACCAACTGTTCTAATGGGCCTCGTTGACGAATAGTTTGCAAATCAGACTCAATATAGCGCCGCTCGCTCACATATTCCGTGGTGGAAATCTTACTGAGTTCTCTCTAACCATAGGACTGTGCCCCCTGGAGCCACGACTACTTTCACCAAGCCGCTCACTCTAGAGCATTAGAAGCCGGTTCAAGCAATGATGTACATGATAGAAATTATTAGGGGGATTTTAAATGTTTGAGATTTATTAATATATATATATATATATATATATATATATATATAATTATTTATTTAAAATATAATTCCAACGCATCATATTTTAAATAAATAATTATATTTATGCTCTACTTTTGTATCGAGCACTATTTTTTTAAAATAATAACAAAAATACTAAAGAACTTTGGATTATTTACCTAACGAGTTCTTTCCTATTTTCTATATATTTTTACACACACACACAAACACACACACACACACATATATATATATATATATATCGATAGATTGATAAATAGACATGATGAAAGAGGAAAAATATCTCATTATCTATTAACAGATAGATAGATAGATAAAGAACAAATAGGAAACGTTTATTAATCTAACATGTTTCATTTTTATTAAGACTTCTTCATTAATGTAACTTTAATAAGAGAGGAGCATGTTAGATTGATCAACATTTCCTATTTGTCGTTCATCTTGATATAGATAGATAGATAGATAGATAAATAGATAATGAACAGATTGAGATAGATAGAGAGATAGATAGATAGATAGATAGATAGATAGAGAGAGAGAGAGAGAGAGAGAGAGAGCTATATGAATAGACTGAGAAAGGTAGAAAGATAGATAAAACAGACTGAGATACGAACGAACTGAGAAATATAGATAGATAGATATGAACAGATTGACATATAGGTATGAACAGACTGAGATCGATAGATAAATAGATAGATAGACAGATATGAAAATACTGATATAGGTATATAGATATGAATAAAATGACATATATATATATATATATATATGCTCAGGCTGAAATAGATTTGAGCTGAAATAGATAGATACATAGATAGATATGAGCAGACTGAAATATATAGATATGAGCTGAAATAGATAGATAGATAGATAGATAGATAGATAGATAGATAGATAGATAGATATGAGCAGTCAGATAGATACAAAAAGACTGACAGATAGATACATCCATATGAACAGACTTAGATAGATAAAAAGAAAGAAAGACAGAAATAAAGCAAGAAACCTTTGAGAAAGAACGAAAGAAATATATAGAAGCAGAATTAAATTGACGAAAACGAATTCAAAATTATATTATTTATTCGGTTTTGCCTTCAGACGTCACATAATTTAACCGTTTTTATTAATTTTGACATCTACGTTTAGATAAAACCCCTAAGAAAATGTAGAAATAAAATAGCTCTCTCTTTCTACCTACAGGACTAAATAGAAAGTGGCCGCTAATTAAAGGTTGTTTACATCTCAGTTCCCTAACACAAACATCGATATCGTGGATTGAAACTGCCAAGACCTTTTGTAAGTCCACCAGTGTTCAGATGTATAATGCGACTTTGGCAGTAAAATCGGTTGAGTCAAAGCAGAAAGGTATTTTTCTCAAGAAATCTCTAAGACACGTGAGAAAGTCGGACGGAAAAGTCAAGGTGAAGAAGAAGAAAAAAAACAAACAAAAAAAAATGTCGGATAATTTAGTGGATGGAATTGAAAATAAACAGAAAAACTTGGAAAGACAAACAAATCCATGGACATGTCATTAAATCAGGCGAGGAGTTGTTTTGATGACTGAGAAACAAGAGTTGTGTAGATAATGGAAGGATAAAGAAGAGAAGGTATTGAAGGGGAAATAACCGGAGGAGGAGGAGGGGGGAGGACAAAGAGACGGAGAAAGAAGACGAAGAAGGAAAAGAAAAAGAAGGAAAATGAAGACGACGAAGAAAAAGAAGAAGAGCAACAGCAAGAATAAAAGGCGAAGAAAAAGAAACAAATAACAAACGGAGTAGGACGAAAGAAAAATGACAAATGACAAAGAAGAAGAAGAAGAAGTGAAGGAGGGGGAGGAGGATTAATAGATGGATAATAATAAAAAGGAGATCAGTGCAAAGAAGAAAAGGGGGAGGAGAAGAAGAAGAAGAAGAAGAAGAGGAAAAGGAGAAAATTACTAGATGACGACAATAGAATAAGACAAAAGAAAAAAAAAACACAAGAAAAGAATCAGAATTAAGAGACAAATGAGAAGAATGAAGAAAAGATGAAAAAGAAAAAGAATGAAAGAAGAAGGAGAGAAAGAGAAAGAAAGATTTTTAGAAAAAGAACAGAAAAAATACAAGTGAGCGGAGTACAAAAAAAAAAAAAAAAAGAAAAAGGAAGAAGAAAGGAAAAGAAGAAGATTGATAGATGGATGAAAAAGTCGGTCCTTCGAGCAAAACAAAGAAGAAAAATAAGTTTTATAGAGGAATAAGGAAAAGGCAGTCATTAGTCATTAGAAGAAGAAGAAGAAGAAGAAGAAAGGAAAAGAAGAAGAAAGGAAAAGAAGAAGAAAGGAAAAGAAGAAGAAAAGTTATAGACGGATAATAAAAAAGCAATTTTCAGAGAAAAAAGAAAAGAAGAAAGGAAAGATGAAGGAAAAAGAAGAAGAAGAAGAAAGGAAAAGAAGAAGACAAAGTTATAGACGTATAAGAAAAAAGCGGTTCTCAGAGAAAAAAGAAAAGAAGAAGAAAGGAAAGATGAAGGAAGAAGAAGAAGAAGAAGAAGAAGAAGACGGGAAAAGAAGAAGACAAAGTTATAGACGTATAAGAAAAAAGCGGTTCTCAGAGAAAAAAGAAAAGAAGAAGAAAGGAAAGATGAAGGAAGAAGAAGAAGAAGAAGAAGAAGAAGAAGAAGAAGAAGACAGGAAAAGAAGAAGACAAAGTTATAGACGTATAAGAAAAAAAGCGGTTCTCAGAGAAAAAAAAAAGAAGAAGAAAGGAAAGATGAAGGAAGAAGAAGAAGAAGAAGAAGAAGAAGAAGAAGAAGAAGAAGAAGAAGAAGAAGACGGGAAAAGAAGAAGACAAAGTTATAGACGTATAAGAAAAAAGCGGTTCTCAGAGAAAAAAGAAAAGAAGAAGAAAGGAAAGATGAAGGAAGAAGAAGAAGAAGAAGAAGAAGAAGAAGAAGAAGAAGAAGAAGAAGACGGGAAAAGAAGAAGACAAAGTTATAGACGTATAAGAAAAAAGCGGTTCTCAGAGAAAAAAAAAAGAAAAAGAAGAAGAAAGGAAAGATGAAGGAAGAAGAAGAAGAAGAAGAAGAAGAAGAAGAAGAAGAAGAAGAAGAAGAAGACGGGAAAAGAAGAAGACAAAGTTATAGACGTATAAGAAAAAAGCGGTTCTCAGAGCAAAAAGAAAAGAAAACGTAAGACGAAGAAAGGAAAAGAAGAAGGAATAATAATAATAATAATAATAATATTAATAATAATAATAATAATAAGAAGAAGAAATTATAGATGCATAAGAAAAGGCGCTCCTAAATGCAAGAAGAAGAAGAAGAAGAAGAAGAAGAAGATTTATAGACAGATAAGAAAAAAGCTATTCTCAGAGCAAAAAAAAAAGCAATTTTTCTTTGTCTCAAAGCTCCTCTTTATCTGTGAGGAAACTGTCCTGCATTCCTTGCCATATAGAAGGATTGATATTACATAGCAGTTCAGCAATCTTTTCTTTGTTTCTGTTGTACCAAGTCTCCTCTTCATGTGAGGAAACTGTCCTGAATATACTCCCATATAGGAGAATATTTATTACATAGCAGTTCAGCAATCTTTTCTTTCTTTCTTTTGTCTCAAGCCTCTTTTGTATCTTTGAGGAAATTGACTAGGGTTATTGCTGAACTGCTATGTAATATCAATCGACATACATCTGATGAGGGCCGGAAGACACAACGGTCGAAACACTGTGATAACAACAACAAAGATCTCGACAACAAGCCGGATATAAATAATGTAATTGATATTGTCATTGTTTTTAACGTTATTTTCTTGTTTCTATTACTTTCCTTAGTTTCTAAAAAGCATCTTTCGCTTTTGCTACGCTCCTTAGTTTTTCAGCCATATTTTTCGGTGCCTTTTATTTCACTACCCTGTTAAATTATCTGCTTAATTTTGATGTCTCCTAATACAGAGCTCATCGCTTCGGTTGTCCTTTTGTTGATATCCATGTTCCCTGTTTTCTTACGGTTAATAATTAAACTTTTTTCTTGCTTTCCTTTTATAGGAAGACATTTCAGTTTCACTTCCTAGGCTGCCATCAACACAATGATATCTGAATTAAGATTATGGTCATCGACAGTAAATGATGGTAGGCCTTCTTATCTACGGAAGATCACTGTGGGTAGAAAAAGTGGCTTGATTAAAAAGTGAACTTATTTTCCAAGATCTCCTTCCTCTTTATATGACCTAGAAATTTCAACTGTATCTTCCTAGCGTTAAGTATAAGGTTTTGTTTCTATTTTCTCTAAAACTTCGTCGTTGCTCACATTTTCGACCCATTGTATTCTCAGTATCCTTCTGTAGAACTACAATTCTGTTGCCTCAAGTCTTTACTTCATCTGTGAGGAAATTGCCTAGCATTCATTGCCATATAGCAGGATTGATATTACATAAGAATTCAATACTTGTTTATTTATTTGTAACAAAAGTTTTTCTGTTTCTTAATACTTTGCATAGCTTTTGGAAGGCATCTTTCGCTATGCCAACGCGCCTTAGGATTTTGTGTCGCGCTTTCAGTCCTCTATTGAAACTCTTCCTGATATTTAAATCCCAGATCCACATCCTTCTTATTTTATAAATCTTACTTCATCCGATTACCACCAAAGGAGTTAAAAAAAAACCCAAAAAAACAACAAAAAAAAAAAAAAAAAAAAAAAACTATTATCATGGATTAGTTCTTAAAATACATAATGGCTGACCGTTCCTTTACGAGTTTGTATGTCTGCTAGATGTGATACTCTTAAAGATGCCTTCTCAGGAACATTTGTGTCTGTTTAACATCCACAGTGCCTACCTGTGTTTTATACTGCAAATTTCAATAAGAATAGATAAGTTCACTTATCGTCCGGATACTCCTCCCCGTTTTTCAGAACAGGAGCAGAAGTTTATCGTTTGTTTCCTGTTTAGGATTGGATTTCAGAGTTTTTTCTAAAATCTTCTGATTCTCTTTCGCTCCCAGTCGTCCTCTTGCATCTTAGTGACGATATTCAGTCACCCCCCCCCACGAGGGCGTCATGTGGCACAAGGCCTTTTTAACGTGGGCATTCCCGAGCCCGTGGGCTCGGCCAAAAATATGCCCATTGAACCCGTATAAACGGGTTCAGGGTCGGTTTACCTCCCCGAAAGAGAATCCGCCCTTTGGCGTAGCCCCTTTCGGGTTCCTCCCCGCCCGAAGGCAGAGAGTTCAACCGATCAGCCGGTTCAGAAGTGAACTACTGACTGACTCAGTGACAGTATCGCCTTGCTTCGAGTGAGCTGATTAATAAAAAAAAAATGATGCTTAGCGGTCACAGTTTCGCGGGGAGAGAACGCCTCGTCTGGCGTGATCGACAGTTTGAACATTACCGCTAAGTTAAAAAATTCTGTCACAATGACTTGAAGCTTCGTACTAGCACATCTATCGACGAATAGTTTCCGCCTATCCAAATTCACCCACAACGCGGGGTTGGAGGGGGTGTTCAACACGTGGTATGCTTTTCAGGCACTTGCCAAAGGTGCTACACGCTGGGACGTCAAGAGGAAAACACCAAGAGAGTCCCCTTTCTGACAAATCGACCATGCTGAAATTCGAAACCATGCTCACCACTCAGCCACGTATCCACATTGTCATTACGGCGATGGGATATTCCTTTTTTCTAAACCAAAAACGTATTTTACAAGCACATTGCAGATCGTTAGAAAGGTGATTTCGATAACAGGGAAGACAGACTAATGAATAAATTCTGATTAAACATAAATTTTGAAATATTTTTCTTATTCAGCATTCGTACGTTATTTATGGAATGATCTGGTATTATTATTATTATTATTATTATAATATTTTCTTTGATTCCTGGTGTATAGTCATTTTTTCCCGGTCCTAACCAGAGACATAAGGTCAGAAATGGCATCATGACATTTTCCACTGAACAGTTTTTGAGGAAAAAACACTCACCTAAGATCACACACATTTTACATAGATAAAGCCCTTCGTAAGGTGTGGGCTGTACTTGTGAGTACAATTGTTTTGTATTTCTTTAAGGAATGATCTAGTAGAAATCCCCTCAATGAGTCTATAGGAATCTTTTCCAAAGAATCCGATGGCTCCAACTACAACTGAATTATTGATGTCCTCATATTGTAATTCTACTAGAATTATTATTATTATTATTATTATTATTATTATTATTTCCTATGATTCTTGGTGTATACTCATTTCTTTCCGGGTCCCGACCAGAGACCTATGATCAGAAATGTCATCATGACATTTTCCACTGAGCAGATTTTTTTGTTTAAAAAAAGAAAAAAAAACGCATATATTACATAGATAAAATCCTTCATAAGATGTGGGCTATATTTGTGAGAACAATTTTTTGTATTTCTTTAAGGCATGGCCTTCCAGGAATCCCTCCAATGATTCTATTGGGATCTTTTCCAATCAATCCAAAGGCTGCAACTCCAACTGGAATTGTTGATATCCTCATGTGCCACATTTTTGAGATTTCACTTTCCAGGTGCTTGCAATTTGATAGTTTTTTTTTTGTTTATTTTAAAAGATGCTCAAAGATACATTACAATCTGCAGGGACAGCCACGTCTATAAGAAGGCACATTTTGTTATTATTATTATTATTATTATTTCCTTGGGTTTCTGTTGTCTTTTTCTGCTTTTCTGTCTTTCTTTCTCTCTTTTTTCCTTCTTTCCTTCTTTCTTTCTTTCTTTCTTTCTTTCTTTTCTATTGCCTTTATTTTTTCTTTCTTTTAACTTTATTATTTTCTTTCTCTCTTTTACTTCTCCTGTGTTTTTCTTTTAATTACCTTTTTCTTGCTTTCTTTTCTATTGCCTTTATTTTTTTTTTCTTTTACCTCACTTATATTTTTCTTTCTTTTACTTCTGTTTTTCTTTTCAATTGCCTTTTTCTTTCTTTTTTCTTTCCTTCACTTATTCTTTCTTTCTTTTACGTCTTCTTTTTAATATCTTTTCTTTCTTTTACCTTTCCTATATTATTATTTTTAATTGCTTTTCTTTCTTTCTTTCTTTCTTTCTTTCTTTCTTTCTTTCTTTTAACTTCCTAATTTCTTGTTTATTTCTGTCTCTCTTTCGATCGCTTTGATCACTGTTTAGAGTCTCCCTCTCTCTCTTTCTTTATCACACTCAGCCTTCTTGCCGACATGTTTCTTTTCTATTTTCCTTGTACGTATCTTTACATTACTAAACTTCGCCTTTCACTTCTTTCCTTCCGGAAACCAGAGACATAAGATCAGAAATCGCTTCATGACATCTTTTACTGATCATTTTTGTAAAAACACACACACACACACACACACACACACACACACACACACACACACACACACACACACACACACACACACACAAGAAAAAACAAAACAAAAACAAATACTAATTTCACACACATTTTTCATAGATAAAGCTCTTCGTAATGTGTGAGCTGCACTTGTGAGTACAATTTTTTGTATTTCTTTAAGGTATGGTCTACCAGGAACCACTTCAATGAGTCTATCGGAACCTTTTCCAAACAATCCGATGGCTCCAGCTACAATTGGAATTAGTGATATCCTCATATTATAGTAGTAGCAGTAGTAGTAGTAATTCTTCTTCTTCTTCTTCTTCTTCTTCTTCTTCTTCTTCTTCTTCTTCTTCTTCGTCGTCGTCGTCTTCTTCTTCTTCTTCTTTGTTTTTTTTTATACGCTCCGTAATTAATGTCATCAAGTGTTGAAGACATTCGAATGAAGGAATGAGTTGAATGAATAAATGGTTCACTTAACCGAATGGTTCCCTTAAAAGTATGTTAGCAGTTCCTATCACGGAACGTTCCGCTCCTGAACCGTCACAGCCCCTAACCCCCGCCCTGTGTTGCAATTTGGGTTAACGAACACATCTCGGAAGTGCATTTTAGTCGCGTTACAGTCGTTGCACGCATCACTGTAATTTGCCTTTCGCTCGACGGGAGATAGTTCGCTCTTGTGCCATTGTCGCAATGACTTATAATCCGTCCACTTTTAAGTCCTTTACGATTGCCTGCTAGACGTCGTTCTACCCACCGGCCATATCTTCACCCCACCTCTATTCCACAACTCGCGTCCGAACCCCACGATTCATCTGACCACACCACCTGAGTCCTGCTTGGGAAAATCCCTGCAACGGCTTTCATTTAGAACCGGGATAATTTTGCTATTATTCGCGTTGAGTTAGCATTGCTCGACAGATGCACATGCGCATACGGCTGGAAGAGAATTGAAAATGGCTGCCTGGTATTCATTAAACGGGAAAGTGAGGTCGGACTGTAGAAAAGGAGAAAAGACAAAACTAGTAGAAAAATGAGTAGCAGGAGGAAGTAAAAAAGACGAGAAGGAAGAGAAGGAAAAGAAGTGAAAGACGGAGTTTAGTAATGTAAAGATACGTACAAGGGAGGTAGAAAAGAAAAATGTCGGCAAGAAGAGCTGAGTGTAATAAAGAGAGAGAGAGAAAGGGAGACTTTAAACATTGATCAAAGCGATCGAAAGAGAGGCAGAAATAAACGAGAAAGAAAATTGGGGAGTTAAAAGAAAGAAAGAAAGAAAGAAAGAAAGAAAGAAAGAAAAGCAATTAAAATAATAATATAGGAAAGGTAAAAGAAAGAAAAGATATTAAAAAGAAGACGTAAAAGAAAGAAAGAATAAGTGAAGGAAAGAAAAAAGAAAGGAAAAGAAAGAAAAAGGCAATTAAAAAGAAAAACAGGAGAAGTAAAAGAAAGAAAAATATAAGTGAGGTAAAAGAAAGAAAAAAATAAAGGCAATAGAAAAGAAAGAAAGAAAAAGGTAATTAAAAAGAAAAAACATAGGAGAAGTAAAAGAAAGAAAGAAAATAATAAAGTTAAAAGAAAGAAAAAATAAAGGCAATAGAAAAGAAAGAAAGAAAGAAAGAAAGAAGGAAAGAAGGAAAAAAGAGAGAAAGAAAGACAGAAAAGCAGAAAAAGAAAATATGACGCAATGAAAAAAAATGTTAGAGAAAAAGAATATGACGCAATAAACGAAAGAAAGAAAGAAAGAAAGAAAGAAAAAAGAAAAAGGATAAAATTAAAGCAATAAAGAAAGAAAGGAAAAAGGTGACAATATGACGCAATAAAGAAAGAAAATAGAAAGAAATAAACAAAGATTAAAGGAAAACGAAAGAAAGAAAAAAGAAAGAAAGGTAGGAAAAAGAAAAATATGACGCAATAATGAAAAAAGAAAGATAGAAATGAAGGAAGACAAAGAAAAAAAGAAAGAAAGAAAGAAAGAAAGAAACAGGGAAAATGAAAGCAAGCAAGAAAAAGAAACTAAAAAAAAGACAGGGAATAGAAAAGTATGACGCAAAATGAAAGAAAGAAAGAAAGAAAAATGAAATGAAGGAAGACAATGAAAGGAAAGAAAGAAAGGTAAAAAAAAGAAAAAAATTCGCAATAAAAGAAAGAAAGATAGAAATAATAGAAGGAAGACAAAGAAAGAAAGACAAATAGTCGAAAAGAAAGAAAAAAGAAAGAGAAAAGAAAACAAGAAATAAAGAAGAGAGACAGAAAGAGAGGGAGATAAAGAAAACTAATGACGAAAACAAAGAAGAATCAAGGAAAGAATGAAAAGGAAAATCTATTTCGTGCACCCCCCCCCCATCGCACAATTTTGGACTTTGTTCTATAGCGCTTATTGTTACGAATATTACCGACAATGCGATTTGACGAAGGAACAAATAAAGACGTTTGCATAGTAACAATCACTATACGGAATGGAATGCTCTTTCGCGGCCAAATGAGTCCAGGGATGACGAAAGGAGGCGGGAGGATTCAAGACACATCTGCGTAATGACAGCAGGATTTTCACCCGACACTGGAAGGGAAAATAGGGGATATTGTTGCAAACCATGTTTATTTATCCGTCTGTTTGTTTGTTAGGAATATTCTGTCCATCGCTTTGGATTACTCAACAAACGACTTAATCGACATCGGCCTGTAAAGAAAACTAGAACTGATACACGCATACGACAACACAAATATGACACTCCTGATTCAGCGTGACCTCCACTGAAGTTATTTAAAAGGGCGTGTACATTAAACTCCTCTAATGGCTTCTTACAAAACACTTTATGATTCAGCATTGCACCCCCTATAATTTCATTAATATTTGTTTGAATCCATATTTTTGCATGTATGGTTCGTCTGTTTATTTTTCATATGTGATTGACACGCCGGCATACGTCAAACACGTTTCTCATCTATGACCGTTCACCTTCTTTCAAGCAAATCCAGAGGGAAAGAATAATTATACATTAATCATTTGAATTATTTTATACATTGATCATTTGGGACCAGTATCCTTTTATTTGTTGTATTTGTCTCAAGGTTTTGATCATTGCATTCTCCGATCTTCCTGAGGAATCTGATTCGTTCGATAACGAAGATTGGCTTATAAATTAAAACGGTTGTATCCTCTGACATCCTGATATGACAAACATATTCAGCTACGAAGATTATCTCACAGATTAAGACTTTTGTATCTTTCGACCATCCTGATACGTTAAACACGTTCAGCTCGGAAGATTACCTTACAGATTAAGACTTTTGTATCCTTCGACCATCCTGATACGTTAAACACGTTCAGCTATGAAGGTTATCTCACAGATTAAGACTTTTGTATCTTTCGACCATCCTGATACGTTAAACACGTTCAGCTATGAAGATTATCTTACAGATTAAGACTTTTGTATCCTTCGACCATCCTGATACGTTAAACACGTTCAGCTATGAAGATTAACTTACAGATTAAGACTTTTGTATCCTTCGACCATCCTGATACGTTAAACATGTTTGGTTACGAAGATTACCGCATAAATTTCGACATGTTGTATCCTCTGACCATTCTGATACATCAAACACATTCGGCAACGAAGATCACCTTATTTTGACTGTTGTAATAACGCTGTTGATTTTTTTATTTTCTTATTTGTTTATATATATTATTTACTTTTTAAAAATTTATTTATTAATATAATTGTTATATACTATTTTATTTTAATTTGATAAATTATTTATGTATTTATTTATTTTTAATAACAGGTTTTAATTCATCTTTGACCTTTTAATTAAAAAAAATATGGTCAGGTATCTTGCCTTGGGAAAAAGACTATATCTTTTAAGAAAGGAGATATTTGAAAAAAAGAAAAAAAAGAAAAGAAAACGGGTCGTAGGTTAACATTTTGGCAATATTAGATAGCGGCAAAGTCAAACATTTTCCGTGCTCCTAACGAATTTTGCCAAAATGTTAACCTGTGAGCCTAAGAAAGGAAAGGATCCATTATTCTGTTTAACGTCCTTTATTTTTTTTTTTTAATTTCAGATTCGACAGTTTTGGGATGAAATTTCACTACCAAGTTATAAGCGTGGTTCTGGGTACACATCGCCTTCATCAATCTCTCAAAGGCGTCCGACCTTGTTAGCAGGAAAGGTATGTTTCAATTACTCATGAAAATTGACTGTACCCCAAAGTTGCTGAGCATCATCAACGCCTTTCATGAGAGCACAAAGGATGTGGTCAGCTGTGACAGGGAAGTTTCAATGCCCTTTACTATTCAGAGCGGGATAAAGCAAGGATGCGTTTCTTTTCCATGTTGTTGAGTTTTACGGTCGGACAATCCAAAGAAGCTGCATACTTACATACAAGAGGCAATAGTAAACGATTCAACTTGCTCCATCTGAGGGCAAAGACCAAGACGTGTACAGTACTAATAGAGAAATGTTATTTGCGGATGACGAAGATCTGATCACGCGCACCGAACACGACCTCCATCAATTGATTAGTCAGTTCAACCATGTAAGGAATTCAGTTAAATTGTTAACAAAAAACAATTTCATGGGTCAAGATGTGTCTGCATCTCTATCAACCAGCATCGATGGCGTAGTTCCTGATGTCACAGACAAAATTACCAACTGGTACAAGCAGACTTACAAAGGAGCGATCAGCAACCTTTTGCTAACTATGTCCCGACTTAGGGTTTTAAAATTATTCAGTGTGCCAACACTATACGTATTTATATACAAGTCAAGGTCAATACCCTGTTCTACAATATATTTTATATAGTAATATATAGTATATATACTTTAGTATATATTAAAATTGAAACAGCTAAATAGCTTCTTTGCGTTGTAGTAGTTATTGGTTCGGACTTCGTGATGTCATTTGCGGCTGCGTACCATTGGAAATTGCTTGGCACGCCACGTGTAGCACGCGTGCCGTATCTTGCCGACCCCTGATTTACAGAATAAAAAATCAACCAGAGAAAGCAACATTTTATTATTAAACGTAACCTATAATAAAATAATGGAAATTCTTTTACCTTTTACTCGACATTCTCTACATCAGGAGTCGGCAACCTTTTGCTATGTGCCGACTTAGTGGTTTTGAAATCATTCAGTGTGCCAACAGTATACGTATTTTTATACAAGTCAAGGTCAATATATCTGTTCTACAATATATTTTATATAGTAATATATAGTATAAATACTTTAGAAATAATATATATATATATATATATATATATATATATATATATATATATATATATATATATATATATATATATATATATATATATATATATATATATATATATATATATATATATATATATATATATATATATATATATATATATATATATATATATATATATATATATATATATATATATATATATATATATATTGCCACCGATGCCTCTTGGTCTAGTGAGTATGAGGCTTGCCTCATGTCGTAAGGGCCTGGTTTCGATTCTGGGTAGTGGATTCGCACTGCTGATGAGGCCAGTGATTTCTGCATTTTATTAAGGATTCTTTTTAGACTCGATTAATTATTAATATTATTATCATTCAAATCCACTAACAATTTCTCTCTCTATATATATTTAGTATGTATTAAAATTGAAACAGCTAAATATCTTCTTAACGTTGGAGTAGTTATTTGTTCGGAATTCGTTATGTCATTTGCGACTGTGTGCAATTGGAAATTTTTGTCGTGGCACGCGAGCCGTACGTTACCGACCCCTGTCCGAGAGCGTGCCACTTCTCATCTGTCGACGTCGTCTTCGATGTTTGTCACGTACATCGAATATCTGGGACCATTTCTTGATTTCCGGTACATATCTAAATATACATTACCAAATGTCCGATTATCAAAGACTTGCTTTTGTGCTATGCAGGTCTTTTTCGTTACGCCATAGCACGTTGAAACACCGGTTCTCGTACGATCACCGAAGTTAAGCAACGTCGAACCTGGTCAGTACCTCGTACGTAGATCCCGGAAGATTCAGCTGGTCTACCTGCAAGTTCGTTGGGGCGAGAATCGGGCCAAGCAGAAAAATCAATTCTGAACAAGTCGATTCGAGTCCAAAGAAAAACCGATGTATATGCATATAAGGAATAAATTGGTACAAAAAATAATGTTTCTTTTACAAGAAAGTAGTGTATGTGTTATGGGACCTTACCCATAATAACATAATGGACTATAAATACTGCGCCTCAACAGGAAGCAGAGAGTTCAGTCCGAAGTTGGGTGACCGGCTGAACGGTTGAACTCTCTGCTTTCGGGCAGGGAGGAACTCGAACGAGGCTACGCCGAAGGGCGGAGTCTCTTTCGGGGAGGTAAACCGACCCTGAACCCGTTTATACGGGTTCAATGGGTATATTTTTGGCCGAGCCCACGCGCTCGGAGAACCCACGTTAAAAAGTGTGGGGTGGGGCGACCGGCTGATCGGTTGAACTCTCTGGGGGTGACTAAATGCTGTTCAGTCTGAGGTCTGGAGTGAGGTCCGTCAGAAGTCCGTCAGGGGTCTGTCAGTCAGAGCTAGCGAGCCAGTCAGTCGAGTCAGAGGCAGTCCGAAACAGAGTCGCGTTCAGGCAATTGCTACTAAACCTGATTGTTCGTACTAACATTTTCTACTTCTCTGTATATATTTCTGTTTCTAATATATCTGTGTTATTCCATACCCGTGTTCGAGTTCTTCTTTATTGGTTCTACCTTGGACTATCTCCGTGGTACAAGGAACCGGACCATAACAGTATGTGAAATAAAGTCCAGAACAACAACAAAAAAAAAATAAAAAATAAAAAAAATATTGCAAATAATTCTGAAAAGAGAGAAATAGTTTTCGGGTTCATCCTTTTTGTTCTTTTTGTAGTTGCCGTAATTATTTCACTATCAGGATATAAGGGTGGGAGGCTCACTGGTAGTATGGCGCTAACATTGCAGATAACTTGAGTTCACTTCCTCCCTTATTACTGCAGCAAGCAGACGCTTTTACTCTCTTACTGCCCCCTCTCTCTCTCTCTGGTCAACTGCTTGTCAACTCACCAATTCCAACTTCAGCTTCAACTTCGACTTCCACTGTTTGATTTCGCGCAAACAGTCGCTTAAATAAACGCGGAGTCTTGGTAAACTTAGAATACAACCTAATTACTGACCTCTCACCCTTCATGATTAAACGAACAGTCTCTTCTCGACTGGTATTCCATAGTTCATATAAACACTATTCTTTTGACGATAATAATTCTGGCAAAGCACAGATTCTCTGGGCACAAACTTCACCACAGATTATTTTTCTCATTTATAAACAAAATTCTATATTACTATAATTATTAATATTTCAAGGGTGACCATTGCTCTCTGCCACACAATAGCATGATATTCATATCGTGAACATACGATATGATTTGTACACATGATCGCGCGAATAGTAATGGACGCGAAGCTGCACGGCTGTATCCGATTGCGTTTCCAAACCTAAGACAGCCGAATCATCCAACCATTGCTGCTGTTTATCTTCGCGTTGCTGGGATAGGATCCGTGGTACCACAAACTATGGCTCGAGGAAGACCAAGATCCGCTCATACGTCTGTGTAAGGTGAGGGTACTTCAAGAGTAGCTCCTGTACCCATATCATTTGCAACGTGTGCAGGGTATTTCGCCCTTTGATTACTCACCACTGGAGAAATTTTGCCGATGGTCTATTGCGCAAACAGCTAATCCGTATGAGGCAAATTTTGGAAGAGATGGAATAACATCATGCAAAACGCAGTCGTCAGGCCATCTATATATGACTAATATGTACTTAAAAATCAAGGATGAGAAAAACACGGCCCAGAACAACATAAGCAAAGGAGGAATATATATTTGCACAATCAACATTTGTGGGCGGGCCGGAATCGTCATAGTTCAATACAGGCTAGATGTCAGCAACAATTTACGATTAAAGTGTGGGCTAGAATTGTAGGTGACTGTCTCGTAGGACCATATGTTCTCCCAGCAGGTCATGCAGGAGTTGTTTACAGGGACTTTATCTCGACACACTTCCAAACCTGTCAGAGGATGTATCCCTGCTAATATGAAGACACATGTGCTTCATGCATGATTGTGGTCTAGCACATTTTATTCACATTGTTCGCGATGCACTGGCTGATATCTACCATGAAAGACGAATAAGTAATGGAGAACCAGTTTTATGGCCGGCGCGTTCCCCCAACATCAATCCTTTGGATTTTTATCTGTGGGGCCGTCTAAAACAATTGGTTTTATGCAGCAGACATTAATAATGCAGAGACGCTTCATCAACGTGCCGTGGGGTCTGAAAAACCAGTAGACACTGTGTGGGAGTATTTGAAGGGGCCTGCCAATCAAATGATCCGAAGGATACGTGCGTATGGAGAAGCAAGCGGAAGACATTTTGGACATCGGTTATGATTTACTGAGTTGAGGTACAAAGTTTGTCAAATTAATTTTCATTAATCTACGCCCATGAAATAGCCTGTCACCTCTGAGTGTTGACGTCAATGTTCGATTGTATATATATATATATATATATATATATATATATATATATATATATATATATATATATATATATATATATTTTGAAACGGTACAAAAAGCGTATTAAGGCATTAAAAACAAGAAATTTTATATTGTAGGACATGATAGATTTAAAACAAAAAACACACACCAGTCGACCGGTTTCGTCCCCTCTCATCAGAACTGTTAACGTGGAACTAAAATTATGAGAAAAAAAAAAGAAAAAGTCTGTCATCGATGACATGAATGAGTGGACAGGGTGAAAAAAATATTTTAAAAATTATACCAACCAAGATGCCAGGAGCGCAGCACAGCAAGTCCAAGAAAACAATCTCTCTCTCTCTCTTTCTCTCTCTCTCTCTCTCTCTCTATATATATATATATATATATATATATATATATATATATATATATATACTGGGTGTAACAGCAAAACTGTCCAAATCATCCATCTCACAACTTGTTTAATATCTAATAAGAACTAAACTAATTGAGTTTCTTTTTTCAAGGCTTTCATAGACGACGTTTAGCCATCTTGACACCATTTGTTGTAAGAAGCACTGAAAAACCCTTTGAGTTATTCCGCTAAAAAGAGAAAAGGTTAAAATCCTTTTGTGTCAGCCCCACTATCTTCCCAAATGAGCAATGGTAAGAGGAAAAAGATCATTCAGGTCTTCAGTAATGATACCAACATTCAGTCGCTGGCTTCCATCTTCAAAGTTCATTCAAGCACCATCCAGAGAACGGTGAATAAGTTTAAAAAAGAGGGAAAATTAGAGATGAAAACTGGTTCAGGTGGTCCCAACAGCAAGAAGGACCATCATTTCAACTCAGAGCTAAAGAGATCAATTTGAAAAGATCCAACTCAATTCATAAGACGTTTGGCACGTGGGAGAGGAGTTTCAGTTCTGACAGAATATATATATATATATATATATATATATATATATATATATATATATATATATATATAGTGAAATCGACAGCCAGCGGCGGGTTTGTTTTCATGCTAAACGCAGTCGTCAGGCCATCTACATATGACTAATATGTACTTAAAAATCAAGGATGAGAAAAACACGACCCAGAACAACATAAGCAAAGGAGGAATGGCTATGAATCATGTTAAATATTAAAGTTTTCGCCATTTTAAACGGATACAATCGACCTGTTAAAGAAAAGTAAGCTTTGCTTCTCATCCTGTTTTCTGACCCCTTCAGCACCAACTCCACACACGACTTCTGCTGTAGTTTTTTCCTACTTTCCCTGCCGTGTAAATATAATTGCTTATCATTTGGATGCTAGCCTGAGTGGTTCGAGTCTCGCAAAGTTTCTTGGCCGTGTAAATATAGACCCACCCCTAGCTGATTCTTATTTATCTATATTTCTGAGATGAGGTATTATGACTATCATCATCATCATCATCATCTTTGTTGCCGTATTTGTCAAAACGTTTCGGCCATTGTACGCTTCTTCAGGTGGTTGGAATGTCGAACTGAACCCTTTATTTCGCTCACTGCGGTAGACTGTAGACTAGTTCCACGTGCCATGTCTAAGGAGGAATAGCTATGAATTAATTAGCTAAATTAGTTAATTAATTAATTTCCCTCTCCAAGTTCTCCACCGCCTTAACCAGGTATTAAACTCACACTCTTTGGGTCCTGTCATTGTATCAAAGTAACGCCTTTATCCATGTGCCATGTGTCCTTGAAGTAATCTGTGTATGAATTTCTTGGTATTATAAACCTAATGTCTTCAGCAACCATTTTTAACAGTGCTTTTCATGTTTTTACCAGAGCTCATATTGCAATTTTCGTTGTTATTATTGCTTTTCTCTGGTCCTCCTTATTACTGGTTCCAATATTGTATTCATTTCTATGCTTGGTCGGCACAGGAGATTTTTGTGGCCTAGCATATGTGCTGATTCCTTAAGTTTATGAATTTTCCAATGATGTTCTTTGTCTAAATGATTTCAATCTGATTCCACAGAGGGTGATGATTTCCTTTTTCTCCCCATATATTGTCAGCCACGCCTGATTTTTCCAATTGTGTTACAAATTTCTGGTGATCTTGAAGCCTTACCTTAAGGGGGCTGCCCGTCTCCACTTTATATTTCTTTCCACAGCTGCACGGGATGGAGTACGCACAGTCTTTAGTAAAGTTCTCCTTTATGGGGGGGGGTCTTACCCGGGAGAGCTAAGTTTCGTCCAGCTTTTGAAAGTTGTCCTGATGTTATATGGACCGCAGATCTTTTGTGTTTTCTCCGCTAAACCCTTCACATAAGTCAGGCAGATTTTTTCTCAGTGTTGTTGTCCTCCTCTTCTACCCTTCTATCCCAGTTTATTGGGACTGCTGCCATCTACCCAGGGTAGATGTTACGTTGAGGGTACTACTTATACTGACCAATTCTTTATCTAATGTCTCTGGGTCGCCACATGATGTTTGCTCGGTGTTGTAAGTAGCGGACTATCATTTTCTTTACGCTGTATGGATGGTGGGAGTTGAAATTGAGGTACTATCCGGTGAATGTCGGTTGGCATTATATGGATGATTTGAACCCATGCTCTGTTCGAGATATTAGATATTTGCTGATCATTTGGATGCTAACTGGAGTGTTTCGAATCTCACGTAGTTTCTACGCCGTGTAAAAATAGTTTCATCCCTACCTGATCATTTGGTTGCTAACTTGAGTGTTTCGAGTCTCACAAAGTTTCACCGCCCTGTAAATAGAGATTCGCCCTCGGGTGATCATTTGGTTGCTAACTTGAGTGTTTCAAGACTCACGAAGTTTCTCTGTCGTGTAAATATAGATTCGATCTCGGCTGATCATTTGGTTGCTAACGTGAGTGTTTCGAGTCTCACGCAGTTTCACCGCCGTGTAAATATAGATTCGCCCTCGGCTGATCATTTAGTTGCTAACTTGAGTGTTCCGAGTCTCACGAAGTTTCTCTGTCGTGTAAATATATATTCGCCCTCGGCTGATCATTTGGTTGATAACTTGAGTGTTCCGAGTCTCACGCAGTTTCACCGCCGTGTAAATATAGATTCGCCTTTGGCTAATCATTTGGTTGCTAACTTGAGTGTTTCGAGCTTCACGGAGTTTCACCGCCGTGTAAATATTGATTCGCCCTCGGCTGATCATTTGGTTGCTAAATTGAGTGTTTCGAGTCTCACGCAATTTCACCGCCGTGTAAATATTGATTCGCCCTCGGCTGATCATTTGGTTGATAACTTGAGTGTTCCGAGTCTCACGAAGTATCTCTGTCGTGTAAATATAGATTCGCCCTCGGCTGATCATTTGGTTGCTAAATTGAGTGTTTCGAGTCTCAAGCAGTATCACCGCCGTGCAAATATAGATTCGCCCTTGGCTAATCATTTGGTTGCTAACTTCAGTGTTTCGAGTCTCACGAAGTTTCCCCGCCGTGTAAATATAGATTCGCCCTCGGCTGATCATTTGGTTGCTAACTTGAGCGTTTCGAGTCTCACGCAGTTTCACCGTCGTGTATATATTGATTCGCCCTCGGCTGATCATTAGGTTGCTAACTTGAGTGTTTCGAGTTTCACGCAGTTACTCTGTCTTGTAAATATAGATTGGACCTCGGCTGATTATTTGGTTGCTAACTTGAGTGTTCCGAGTCTCACGAAGTTTCACTGCCGTGTAAATATAGATTCGTCCTCGGCTGATCATTTGGTTGCTAACTTGAGTGTTTCGAGTCTCACGCAGTTTCACCGCCGTGTAAATATTGATTCGCCCTCGGCTGATCATTTGGTTGCTAAATTGAGTGTTTCGAGTCTCACGAAGTTTCACCGCCCTGTAAATACAGATTCGCCCTCGGCTGATCATTTGGTTGCTAACTTGAGTGTTCCGAGTCTCACGAAGTTTCTCTGTCGTGTAAATATATATTCGCCCTTGGCTGATCATTTGGTTGCTAACTTGAGTGTTTCGAGTCTCACGCAGTTTCACCGCCGTGTAAATATAGATTCGCCTTTGGCTAATCATTTGGTTGCTAACTTGAGTGTTTCGAGTCTCACGCAGTTTCACCGCCGTGTAAATATTGATTCGCCCTCGGCTGATCATTTGGTTGATAAATTGAGTGATTCGAGTCTCACGCAGTTTCACCGCCGTGTAAATATAGATTCGCCCTCGGCTGATCATTTTGTTGCTAACTTGAGTTTTTCTAGTCTCACGAAGTTTCACTGCCGTGTAAATATAGATTCGCCCTCGGCTGATCATTTGGTTGCTAACTTGAGTGTTTCGAGTCTCACGAAGTTTCTCTGTCGTGTAAATATTGATTCGCCCTCGGCTGATCATTTGGTTGCTAACGTGAGTGTTTCGAGTCTCACGAAGTTTCACCACCCTGTAAATACAGATTCGCCCTCGGCTGATCATTTTGGTTGCTAACTTGAGTGTTCCGAGTGTCACGAAGTTTCTCTGTCGTGTAAATATAGATTCGCCCTCGGCTGATCATTTGGTTGCTAACGTGAGTGTTTCGAGTCTCACGATGTTTCACCGCCCTGTAAATACAGATTCGCCCTCGGCTGATCATTTGGTTGCTAACTTGAATGTTTCGAGTCTCACGCAGTTTCTCTGTCGTGTAAATATAGATTCGCCCTCGGCTGATCATTTGGTTGCTAACTTGAGTGTTTCGAGTCTCACGAAGTTTCACTGCCGTGTAAATATAGATTCGCCCTCGGCTGATCATTTGGTAGCTAACTTGAGTGTTTCGAGTCTCACGAAGTTTCACTGCCGTGTAAATATAGATTCGCCCTCGGCTGATCATTTGGTTGCTAACTTGAGTGTTTCGAGTCTCACGAAGTTTCTCTGTCGTGTAAATATAGATTCGCCCTCGGCTGATCATTTGGTTGCTAACGTGAGTGTTTCGAGGCTCACGCAGTTTCACCTCCGTGTAAATATAGATTCGCCCCCGGCTGATCATTTTCTTGCTAAATTGAGTGTTCCGAGTCTCACGAAGTTTCGCTGTCGTGTAAATATATATTCGCCCTCGGCTGATCATTTGGTTGCTAACTTGAGTTTTTCGAGTCTCACGCAGTTTCACCGCCGTGTAAATATTGATTCGACCCCGGCTGATCATTTGGTTGCTAAATTGAGTGTTTCGAGTCCCACGCAGTTTCACCGCCGTGTAAATATAGATTCTCCCTCGGCTGATCATTTGGTTGCTAACTTGAGTGTTTCGAGTCTCACGAAGTTTCTCTGTCGTGTAAATATAGATTCGCCCTCGGCTGATCATTTGGTTGCTAACGTGAGTGTTTCGAGTCTCACGAAGTTTCACCGCCGTGTAAATATAGATTCGCCCTCGGCTGATCATTTGGTTGCTAACTTGAGCGTTTCGAATCTCACGCAGTTTCACCGTCGTGTAAATATTGATTCGCCCTCGGCTGATCATTAGGTTGCTAACTTGAGTGTTTCGAGTTTCACGCAGTTACTCTGTATTGTAAATATAGATTGGACCTCGGCTGATTATTTGGTTGCTAACTTGAGTGTTCCGAGTCTCACGAAGTTTCACTGCCGTGTAAATATAGATTCGTCCTCGGCTGATCATTTGGTAGCTAACTTGAGTGTTTCGAGTCTCACGAGGTTTCACCGCCGTGTAAATATAGATTCGCCTTTGGCTAATCATTTGGTTGCTAACTTGAGTGTTTCGAGTCTCACGCAGTTTCACCGCCGTGTAAATATTGATTCGCCCTCGGCTGATCATTTGGTTGCTAAATTGAGGTTTTCTAGTCTCACGAATTTTCACTGCCGTGTAAATATAGATTCGCCCTCGGCTGATCATTTGGTTGCTAACTTGAGTGTTTCGAGTCTCACGCAGATTCACCGTCGTGTAAATATTGATTCGCCCTCGGCTGATCATTTGGTTGATAACTTGAGTGTTCCGAATCTCACGAAGTATCTCTGTCGTGTAATTATAGATTCGCCCTCGGCTGATCATTTGGTTGCTAAATTGAGTGTTTCGTGTCTCACACAGTTTCACAGCCGTGTAAATATAGATTCCTCCTCGGCTGATCATTTGGTTGCTAACTTGAGTGTTCCGAGTCTCACGAAGTTTCACTGTCGTGTAAATATATATTCGCCCTCGGCTGATCATTTGGTTGTAAACTTGAGTTTTTCGAGTCATACGCAGTTTCACCGCCGTGTAAATATAGATTCGCCCTTGGCTAATCATTTGGTTGCTAACTTGAGTGTTTCGAGTCTCACGATGTTTCACTGCCGTGTAAATATATATTCGCCCTCGGCTGATCATTTGGTTGATAACTTGAGTGTTCCGAATCTCACGAAGTATCTCTGTCGTGTAAATATATATTCGCCCTTGGCTAATCATTTGGTTGCTAACTTGAGTGTTTCGAGTCTCACGATGTTTCACCGCCCTGTAAATACAGATTCGCCCTCGGCTGATCATTTGGTTGCTAACTTGAGTGTTCCGAGTCTCACGAAGTTTCTCTGTCGTGTAAATATAGATTCGCCCTCGACTGATCATTTGGTTGCTAACTTGACTGTTTCGAGTTTCACGCAGTTTCACCGTCGTGTAAATATTGATTCGCCCTCGGCTGATCATTTGGTTGATAACTTGAGTGTTCCGAGTCTCACGAATTTTCTCTGTCGTGTAAATATATATTCGCCCTCGGCTGATCACTTGGTTGCTAACTTGAGTGTTTCGAGTCTCACGCAGTTTCACCGCCGTGTAAATATAGATTCGCCTTTGGCTAATCATTTGGTTGCTAACTTGAGTGTTTCGAGTCTCACGCAGTTTCACCGCCGTGTAAATATTGATTCGCCCTCGGCTGATCATTTGGTCGCTAAATTGAGTGTTTCGAGTCTCACGCAGTTTCACCGCCGTGTAAATATAGATTCGCCCTCGGCTGATCATTTGGTTGCTAACTTAAGTTTTTCTAGTCTCACGAAGTTTCACTGCCGTGTTAATATAGATTCGCCCTCGGCTGATCATTTGGTTGCTAACTTGAGTGTTTCGAGTCTCACGAAGTTTCTCTGTCGTGTAAATATAGATTCGCCCTCGGCTGATCATTTGGTTGCTAACGTGAGTGTTTCGAGTCTCACGCAGTTTCACCGCCGTGTAAATATAGATTCGCTCTCGGCTAATCATTTGGTTGCTAACTTGAATGTTTCGAGTCTCAAGAAGTTTCTCTGTCGTGTAAATATAGATTCGCCCTCGGCTGATCATTTGGTTGCTAACGTGAGTGTTTCGAGTCCCACGCAGTTTCACCGCCGTGTAAATATAGATTCGCTCTCGGCTAATCATTTGGTTGCTAACTTGAGTGTTTCGAGTCTCACGAAGTTTCTCTGTCGTGTAAATATAGATTCGCTCTCGGCTAATCATTTGGTCGCTAACGTGAGTGTTTCGAGTCTCACGCAGTTTCACCGCCGTGTAAATATAGATTCGCCCTCGGCTGATCATTTGGTTGCTAACTTGAGTTGTTCGTGTCTCACTGAACCTACTCAAGCCCCGTTCTATGCCGAGAAATTTTCACCAAACATAATTGAATGTACTTGTGTTTATCATGGGTGCCTACTATAACTCGATGCGTAGCTAATCCAGTTCGCTAGTGTATGAGTTCGCTCCTCATTATGTCCTTCCATTTTGTGTTTTCCTTGACTAAATTAAGCTTAATAATTTACTAATATTAATCTGTATAATACTAAAAGTCTGTGATTGCGTGTGTGCTCATGTAGTGAATCTGTCCAGCGCATAATCATTTAATTTAACCTTTTTTAATTGAATAAGATTTAAAGAGTACGTGTTGTTTATACAGTATTTTTATTTTAAGTTTTTTAAACAGAAATTTTTTTAATTAAGTTATTTCAAAGTAAAGACAGGCACAAAGAAATCCCGCTTTGCTGTTTCATACAGTTGTTTGTAGAGTAATTATTTACATTTTAGTTTTCTTTAAACAGACAATATTTTAAATATTTAAATATTTAAAACATTTTTGGTGTATTGAAATATTTTAAAGGTAATCTGATTTAAAGTTTAAGTTTATCCCGGAAGTTGTATTCCTATTAAATGCTGTGAACAATCAGTAAAACATTAAACATGAACTTGTAAACCAGACCAATGATATGAACGAATTGAAATATTTAACTGAATCATAATAAGATTAACTTTCATTTCAATGGAATGTTGAAATCAACTTCAATGTTTTATAAGCCGAACCCACAATGACCCAATAGGTCACAGGTAGTCTAGTATAAGTCACTTCAGTTACTTTACCATCGCCCTAACTTCCATGCGTCTTCTCTATAAATACTTTCATGATATATGTTCTAAGGGGCTCTGTTCTATGGTACCTAGACTTTAGTAATTTAAGTGCAGTATTAGATTTTCGTCAAGGTCACATTATTTTAATGTGGATATGGCTAGATATAAATGTAACTTCTATGCTAGCAGTTTTTTTCTCTTTCGCGTTTCTTGCTTCCTGAAGTTTCTTCCGGTTTTTTGCTTTCCGGTTAGCTTTGATCTTTAAAATTTAAAACTTCTGCCTTCTTAATTTCTGTTCTTTTCTTTTTTTTTCTACTTAATGTTTTATTTCCTCATATTCAGTAATCCCTTGCGTCTTCGTGGCTTTATTTGCTTACTTGGGGTAAAATGAATAAAAAAAGTCGTGCTACCAGCCCGAAACAAAATAAGCAACACAAAACTTAAGTAGTTTATGTTTTTTTCCCAAATGATTTAGGACAATTTTTGACCTCTGAACCCCAAAATGTAATCCGTATTTCTCGATCATGTCATGTTTTTGAGATAAGTTGAGTTTTATAATATCCGATCTTCTGACTAAATCGATTACATTTTTGTGACATTATTGATTGAATTTTGTAAATATTTCTCACACGAAATAAGTTTTTAAGAGAGAAAAAAGCGTTTTCTGACACAATTTATTAATTAAATATTACAAACATCGATTACAATATACATTGATAAATGTAAGTACATGTAAATTGCATGTTGCATCATAATTGTTCAAAATTCAGGGCTTCAAATTCTGTTTATTCGAACCTCTAAAATGGTTAGTGGCAGGTGTGTCTCTCTTCAAACTTCAGCCGTCATTAGCCATCATGACTGCATCCCAGCGTCCCTGATACCTGGTCTCCATCTCTTTCATGTCCTGACGGAATCCCTCCTCCTGTTCTTCGCTCGTTGATCCCAGAAACCGATCCATATGTGAGAATAAATAATGCATTTTGATGCTCATGTTGCATCCGAGGTTTTTGAAAGCAGTTAGCATATTGATGACAAGTTCTGGGGAGTTTCTGGCTTTGTTGTTTCCAAGAAAGTTCTTCACGACCAGAACAAAAGCTTTCCATGCTTCCAGTTCCACTTCGGATATTGAGTTTTCAAACTTTGGATCTCTGATAAGCAGACGGATTTGAGGACCATCAGAGATGTCTGCTTACGGATTCTCCATCATCAATCCTGGAAAAGCCTGGCACAAGTAAGGAGAGGAGCAACCACCATCTTTGTCCAGAGATTTGGTGACCTGCTTGATCAAGCCGAGCTTAATGTGCAACGGTGGAAAAAGTCTCCTGTCTCAGTTCCACCTTATGGATGACGTTTGTTGCTCTGCAGGGCAACAATTCCTCCCGAATAGGTTAGTCCTTTTTCGTGTAATGCTAAACAATGTTCCTACTATCCCACATGCACTGATTATCATGGGTAATTGATGATCCCAGACTTGTGACCCAACAAATAATTCACCATCTTCAGATCAACACAAATAAACCACTCATGCTGATCTTAATGCATTTTCTCCAGCACTTCACGGCTTCATATTTCACCTTCAAGGGAACGTGGGGATACAGAGGCAAACTGGTTGCTGTTGTGCAACAGAACAATTTTCAGTGATCGCTTGCTGCTGTCATCGAACAGTGTCCAGTCTTTGGATTCGTACTGTGCCGCTCCAATTTTGTGCAGAAGCCGCGCAATATCTGAAGAGTACACCAAGTCCTTCTCTTTAGAATAAAAACGGAAGTACTCTTGATACTTGTTGCGATAGAAGGTGATGCGTGGACTGCCAGAAAGTAGTTTTTTTTTCCTTCAACCTGGATGCCAAAGGTTCGGAAGAGGACTTTGCCAATATCGTGAAGTAGATCATTTAGATCCTCCGAGGTAAAAGGAAATGGGACATCATCATCAAAAAATACTTCTTCTTGTTCTTCGTGCTTGTTCGTGCTGATTGAAGATCAGGTTTTCTAGCTTGAGGCTTTCTGTAGATCCCAGTCACATCATTTAGATCCTCTAAAGTAAAAGGATGTTGGACATCATCATCAGAAAACACTTCTTGTTCTTTGTGCTTGTTCGTGCTGATTGAAGATCAGGTTTTCTAGCTTGAGGCTTTCTGTAGATCCCAGCCACATCATTTAGATACTCTAAAGTAAAAGGATGTTGGACATCATCATCAGAAACCACTTCTTGTTCTTCGTGCTTGTTCGTGCTGATTGAAGATCAGGTTTTTCTAGCTTGAGGCTTTCTGTAGATCCCAGCCACATCATTTAGATCCTCTAAAGTAAAAAGGATGTTGGACATCATTATCAGAAAATACTTCTTGTTCTTTGTGCTTGTTCGTGCTGATTGAAGATCAGGTTTTCTATCTTGAGGCTTTCTGTAGATCCCAGCCACATCATTTAGATCCTCTAAAGTAAAAGGATGTTGGACATCATCATCAGAAACCACTTCTTGTTCTTTGTGCTTGTTCGTGCTGATTGAAGATCAGGTTTTCTAGCTTGAGGCTTTCTGTAGATCCCAGCCACATCATTTAGATCCTCTAAAGTAAAAGGATGTTGGACATCATTATCAGAAAATACTTCTTGTTCTTTGTGCTTGTTCGTGCTGATTGAAGATCAGGTTTTCTATCTTGAGGCTTTCTGTAGATCCCAGCCACATCATTTAGATCCTCTAAAGTAAAAGGATGTTGGACATCATCATCAGAAAACACTTCTTGTTCTTTTTGTTTGTTCGTGCTGATTGAAGATCAGGTTTTCTAGCTTGAGGCTTTCTGTAGATCCCAGCCACATCATTTAGATCCTCTAAAGTAAAAGGATGTTGGACATCATTATCAGAAAATACTTCTTGTTCTTTGTGCTTGTTCGTGCTGATTGAAGATCAGGTTTTCTATCTTGAGGCTTTCTGTAGATCCCAGCCACATCATTTAGATCCTCTAAAGTAAAAGGATGTTGGACATCATCATCAGAAAACACTTCTTGTTCTTTGTGCTTGTTCGTGCTGATTGAAGATCAGGTTTTCTAGCTTGAGGCTTTCTGTAGATCCCAGCCACATCATTTAGATCCTCTAAAGTAAAAGGATGTTGGACATCATCATCAGAAACCACTTCTTGTTCTTCGTGCTTGTTCGTGCTGATTGACGATCAGGTTTTCTAGCTTGAGGCTTTCTGTAGATCCCAGCCACATCATTTAGATCCTCTTAAGTAAAAGGATGTTGGACATCATCATCAGAAAATACTTCTTGTTCTTCGTGCTTGTTCGTGCTGATTGAAGATCAGGTTTTTCTAACTTTGAGGCTTTCTGTAGATCCCAGCCACATCATTTAGATCCTCTTCAGTAAAAAGGATGTTGGACATCATCATCAGAAAATACTTCTTGTTCTTTGTGCTTGTTCGTGCTGATTGAAGATCAGGTTTTTTCTAACTTGAGGCTTTCTGTAGATCCCAGCCACATCATTTAGATCCTCTTAAGTAAAAGGATGTTGGACATCATCATCAGAAAATACTTCTTGTTCTTTTGTGCTTGTTCGTGCTGATTGAAGATCAGGTTTTCTAACAGGGCTTTCTGTAGATCCCAGCCACATCATTTAGATCCTCTTAAGTAAAAGGATGTTGGACATCATCATCAGAAACCACTTCTTGTTCTTTTTGTGCTTGTTCGTGCTGATTGAAGATCAGGTTTTTTCTAGCTTGAGGCTTTCTGTAGATCCCAGCCACATCATTTAGATCCTCTAAAGTAAAAAGGATGTTGGACATCATCATCAGAAAACACTTCTTGTTCTTTGTGCTTGTTCGTGCTGATTGAAGATCAGGTTTTCTAGCTTGAGGCTTTCTGTAGATCCCAGCCACATCATTTAGATCCTCTAAAGTAAAAGGATGTTGGACATCATCATCAGAAACCACTTCTTGTTCTTTTTTTGCTTGTTCGTGCTGATTGAAGATCAGGTTTTTCTAGCTTGAGGGCTTTCTGTAGATCCCAGCCACATCATTTAGATCCTCTAAAGTAAAAGGATGTTGGACATCATCATCAGAAACCACTTCTTGTTCTTTGTGCTTGTTCGTGCTGATTGAAGATCAGGTTTTCTAGCTTGAGGCTTTCTGTAGATCCCAGCCACATCATTTAGATCCTCTAAAGTAAAAGGATGTTGGGCATCATCATCAGAAACCACTTCTTGTTCTTTGTGCTTGTTCGTGCTGATTGACGATCAGGTTTTCTAGCTTGAGGCTTTCTGTAGATCCCAGCCACATCAACAGAACAGAAGTAGCAGTCAGTGCTATGGTTTGTTGACTCCTTTTGGGTAGTAACAGTAGCATGCTGAAGTGTAGAGATTGGGCGTGTGATAACCTCGGGCATCCATATCGCGAGTGTATCCAATGAATGAATGAAATATAAATTTAGTTTACATTTAATTTGAATAAAGATTTTATTTCATGTTTCATTTACTTTTACACATTGAATATGTCTTCCTACCTCAAATTTCTGCGTAATCCCCCCTCCCTACTTGAGTCTTAAGGATATACAATCAAGGAATTTACATTAACAAACATCAAACCTCTGAATGTCACTGGATCGGATCGACAGTTTCTGAGATGCGATACGAAAGCAGTTTAACTTTTTTTAATCCTTGCATTTGACAGTGAATTGACGATGCAGGGTTTCATAATCATTTAGCTTGTAAAATAAAGCAGCTGTCGCCAAGCGTCATGGAAATCTGTTTTTCGACTTGCAAGCCCGTTCTCCAACGCGCGAATACTTGGCAACTTTCTTATTCTATACGTTCGATCGGTGTAAAGTTCAAGTCGAATCATTATCGATCTGCAAATCTATATTCATCACAGGATACCATAGAACTCGGTTAATAAGGCTTTATTCAGCCATCCTCATGTCCCACCCGTCCCATACGCGATGTCTAGATCTTGGTCAAGCCGTAGAGGTCACTAAACACACTTCTCTAGTTCTTAATGTATAACTGGCTATAATTTGACGTGCCATTTGCTAAAGTGGTTATCAGACGCAAACAACCTTTAAAAGATACGCGTTCAGGAGGTTCAATAACACGCTTTCCTGACAGCGTCCTACTTACCCGTCTCGTAATGCATGGTTCCGCTTGACTGGTCCAGTCGATCCGCCAGCCAAAAGCGGCCTTATGCCAAGCAGCTCGACATCGGACAGCTTCTTCTTCTTCTTCTTCTTCTTAATATGTCCCTTTAGCTCTTAGTAAAGATTGTCTTTTTCCTATCTCCCCTAATCCATATTCTGCCATCCATTTACTCAAGCTCGTCAGGTAGGTCAGCTGGCTCTACTTTCCTCTGCTCCTCTTGGCTTCAATATGCCTTGCGAGTGCCAAATTTTTTCAAGGCCTTTTTTCCTAAAATTTCATCTGTCTCTTTCTGGTGTTAAGTATAAGTGTCCTTTTTGTTTACCTTTTCTCTGAAGATTCGTCGTTCTTCCCATGTTCGGTACATGACGTTCTTAACGTAGAATCATATAGCTACCTCGTCAAAAAGTTAGTCTTTTATGATTTAATATATTAAGCAAGAAAGGTCAGGGATAGGGTGATCAACGGACCATTTTCTATTATATTCACTAACGGGACCTGATTAAACGAAGACACGAATGACCAAGAACACATTGATCTGGTCATGGATGGCAGCTATAAAAAAAAGAAGAAGAAAACAACGAGTGTAGATAGCGATAGAAACAGAAATTGATGCGACTTGTTTGGCAAAGGTGTCAGGATAGTTCACGAGTTTTACCATTTCATGCAATGAGAAGGTGTTGCACAAGAGCTGGAATCCACAGGTAACAAGCAAATTAGCTTCAGTTTTGAGTTTTGCTTTGTCCGACGTGACCAGCCCCAAACGCACACAATAGAAGAGATTTAAATTTAGGTATCTTTGTTTCTAAGTTAATGTGACATTTTTAAATGCGTTCCGACTTTTCGAACGCAACTTCCTAATTAATCTAGAAAGGTAAACCCGTTGATTAAATATTGATTTGAAAGTTGAGTTCTGATAGTGTTATGGTGAAACACACCTATTCTATAGTTAATGGACTCTCCCACCTAATATAAGTAGAAGTAGTAATAGAAACGGAGGTAAGTCAGTCAGTGAGTCAGTGAGTCAGTCGATGTCGGACGACAGTTAGTCGAATACGAAAGCAGTCAGCGACCACCACAAGATTACTCTGCGTAATACCCATTATGTCAAGTTCCTAACGTTTTGTATGTCGAACCTACTTTAGGACTGATTTAGTACAAATACAAGCCTCCACTGCGAAATCACTCCACAACAGATAGCAAATTTCTAGCCGTCATTTGTAAAAATGTTTCCCGCCAAAATATGTCGTGGACATCATTTTTTTTTCCTGAAGTGTCTGATCTCGTTTTTCGTATCTGGATGGATCTTTGTTCAGTCCCTGTATGTAAAAAGGCACACCCTGACATAGTAATCTTTCCTTCCGTTCATACAGGCATCAATTTCCCGACGCAATGTCGACTTTATGCGAATCCGTTATCAATTTTATTTAGATGTTGGCGCCATTCACGACTGAAGAAGCATGGGTTCGGGGGAAAAGCCGAATCCACAAACCACGCGCCTGGTCGATATAAACGGATAATGGCGAAGGTCTTTATCCCGTGCAGGACTGCGATCCTTGCCAGATAGCAATTGCAGAGAGATACGGAAAATCCAAAGAAGCGAGATGAATGTACTGTTGACTCGACATTAATGGGAAACCATGCATATTACATGACAAAGTCGGGTTCTTTTTTTTTCCTTTCTTTTTTTGGAGATTAATTTCTTTTATTCATACCCCGGTGACCGTCTTTAAAAACACGTCTTGAAATTCTTGAATCTTGCTTGAAGTCTCACCCTCTAAATGTCAGATACGAGAAATATAAATATTTTTATGCATAAAAACTTTTAGATATTACAATATTTAGACCACAATTGGCACCTTTTCAAGTTTTATCTATCTATCTATCTATCTATCTATCTATCTATCTATCTATCCTTTTCCACAATTGTCTTTCTTTCTTTCTGTGTTCATTATCTATGTAAATATTTTCATTATCTCTCTCTCTCTCTCTCTCTCTATCTATCTATCTAAATATGTTCATTATCTATCTATCTATCTATCTATCTATCTATCTATCTATCCTTTTCCGCAATTGTCATAGTCAAGTATCAATCAGTAAGCAAAGGAAAGCGATAATGCACGAAGAAAATATATACCTATCTTAGTCTTAGTATCTCTATGTCAATCTGTTTATATCTATCTATCTATCTATCTATCTATCTATCTATCTATCTATCTATCTATGTAAATATTTTCATTATCTATCTATCTCTTTCTATCTATCTAAATATGTTCATTATCTATCTAAATAAACAAATCTATCTATCTATCTATCTATCTATCTATCTATCTATCTATCTATCTATCTTTTTCCATAACTGACAAAGTATCAATCAGAAATCAAAGGAAAGACAGAAACACATTTTTGTTTTTCTCTAGTTTTTTTAATCAATTCGTGATAGTCAAATCTGTTGCAAGCAACTTACCTTATAATCTGCATCACAGAGACAAGAAGCAGGATCTAATCACCCCCAATGTTCCCATCTGAACACACCTATTCAAAATGGATAGGCTTTTCTTTTTCTTTTCTTTTTTTATTACCTGAAATTAAAAGTTTTGCTCGGAAAAAATTAAAGCCCTTACATTTGCCTCGTCACTCAATAAAGTCTGAGTTCCTCTAATTTTATTCTCAGGGTTTGTCTTAGGCGATTCCAAGTCGTATAAGTTTATTTGGTTTGGAATTGGCCATGATTGGCCGAGTTCTTTTATTGCCAATTGACAAGTTATTTGGTGAATTTATCAGATTGGCTGTATTCAGTGGGTGTGACGGGATGGAGACAATAACTGGTAGAAAGGCAGGCAGTCAGAAAGGAAGGAAAGAATGAATGAAGGAAGGAAGGAAGGAAGGAATGAAGGAAGGAATGAAGGAAGGGAGGAATGAAGGTAAGAAGCTAAGAAGGATGGTAGGAAGTAGGAAGGAAGAGATGAAGAGAAGAGGGAAGGAAAGGATGAAGAGAGGAGAGTAAGAAGGATGCGATGAAGGAGGGTAAGAAAGAAAGGAAGGAAAGGAAGAAAGAAAAGGATCATGAAGGAATGCAAGAAAGAAAACAAGAATGTAGGAAGGAAGGGACAAAAGAAGGAATTCAGAGAGGAAAGGAAAAAGAGAAGAGAGGGAAGAAGGGAAAAAAAGAAAGCCAGAAGGTCGAAAGGAAGGAATGAATGACGAGAGAAAGTCGGTAAAGTGCGGATGAAGAGAGAAGCAAAGTAAAGAAGGAAGGGATGAAGGAACGAAGTCAAGAATGAAGGTAGGAAGTATGGGAGGGAGGGAGGAACGTACGAAGAAAGAGAGGAAGTCAGAGACAGAGGGGGAAAGAAAGGAAGGAAAGAAGAGACAATAGGAAGGAAGGAAGGAAGGAAGTGAGCAAGAAATGACGGAAGGCAGCATGGAATGGTAGGAGAAAAGAAGGAGGAAGTGAGAGAGAGAGAGGGAGAAAGAAAGAAAGAAAGAAAGAAAGAAAGAAAGGAAGAATGGAAGGAAGGAAGGGAGGGAGGGAGGAAGGAAGGAAGGAAGGAGGGAAGGAAGGAAGTGAGCAAGAAATGACGGAAGGCAGCATGGAATGGTAGGAGAAAAGAAGGAGGAAGTGAGAGAGAGAGAGGGGAGAAAGAAAAGAAAGAAAGAAAGAAAGAAAGAAAGAAAGAAAGAAAGAAAGAAAGAATGGAAGGAAGGAAGGGAGGAAGGAAGGAAGGAAGTGAGCAAGAAATGACGGAAGGCAGCATGGAATGGTAGGAGGAGGAAAGGAAGGAGAGAGAGAGAGAGAGAGAGAGAGAGAGAGAGAGAGAAAGGAAGGAAGGAAGGAAGGAAGGAAGGAAGGAAGGAAGGAAGGAAGTGAGCAAGAAATGACGGAAGGCAGCATGGAATGGTGGGAGAAAGGAAAGAGGAAGAGAGAGGGAGAAATAAATAAAGGAAGGAAGGAAGGAAGGAAGGAAGGAAGGTTGTGAGCATGAAATGACGGAAGGCAGCATGGAATGGTAGGAGAAAGGAAGGAAGTAGTGAGAGAGAGTGAGGGAGAAAGGAAGGAAGGAAGGAAGGAAGGAAGGAAGGAAGGAAGGAAGGAAGGAATGTAAGAAGGAGTAAAAAAGAAATGTCAATGGCATACATTAGGTGGTAGAAATATTTTCAATAAAGAACCTTCCAAACTAGAACCACGCTCTCTTTTTCTCAATATATACTAGTTGGTAGCGTAAAGTTCTCAGCCCGACCAAGAAGCAAATGACCTAAAGCCATAAGATGCACACGCTATTCTGCATATTTCACCCTACAGTCAAATCTGCTGGGCACATTGTTTCACTACTTTCTTTAACGATTAAAAACAAACTGAAACAATATTTCTCTATATCTCTGAGATTAGGTATCATGATTATTTACATTATACGGACTGTTATCCTCATCTTCATTGCCATATTCACAATGTTTTGGCCTTTGTAAGCACCGGCCTTCTTCAATTGTTCTAGTTCCACGTGCCATACCTCTTTCGGATGTCTCAGTTATTTTTCTTTTAACTCAACTCCCCAAGGCGTCGGCTAGATCCCGTGACTAGATCCAAAGAGTTGTGAGTTCAATACCAGACTACAGCGGTGGTGAAACAAAAAAATTGGAGAGTTGAGTTGAAGGGAAATAACTGTGACATCCAGAAGAGGTATGGCATGTGGAACGAGAAAAATCTACACCGCTGGACTAAATGAAGGGTTCAAAATTTCAATCAACTTAAGAAGGCCGGAGCTTACAACGGCCGAAACGTTGTGAATATGGCAATGAAGATGAGGATAACAGTCCAAATAATTTAAATAATGCAAGTAACCATAATACCTCGTCTCAGAGATATAGACGGATCCTGAAGAAGGCCGGAGTGTACAGCAACCGAAACGTTGTGAATATGGCAATGAAGATGAGGATAACAGTCCGAATAATGTAAATAATGCAAGTAATAATAATACCTCATCTCAGAGATTTAGGCGGATCCTGACGAAGGCTGGAGTGTACAACAACCGGAACTTTGTAAATATAGCAATGAAGATGAAGATAACAGTCCGAATAATGTAAATAATATGAATAAACAGAAACAATTTTGTTGCTCTGAATTCGAAATTTTGCTTTTTTCAACGTTTGGAAAGAGGAGATAATTAAATAGAGAGTCATCTGGGGCGCTGAAGAGGGTTAATGCACTTAACCCCCAAAATTCTTGAAAATATCCACCCAGTGAAGATGTGCATTTTCTTGTTAAATGTAAAGAACTACCTGCGGTCTAGTTCCTTGCAACGACTTCTTTAATCGGTAAAAGTTTGAGTAATATATTCTTTTTTTTATTACTATATATATCGTTTTAGTGTGCCACATGTGAAGTGGTAGCCATTCACAATTCATATCCAGCATCATAAAATTTTTTATTAAAACGCTACGTCTACCCATGGGTCCAATTGACCCATAATTTATTTTCAAAACTAAGTTTTTCACCCTTATATTTATTTTATCCGAATTATTTTTGTAACTTTTTTTTGTGATGCACGCTGGCCGCCAATAATGAAGTATAACTCGATACTTCAATGTTAAAATAAGGCAGTATTTAATTACAAACGCAAATAAATACTTAACAAGAACAAGGAAGTAAATGTCGACGAAAAATAATTAACCATTTCAGTGAATCCCTTGTTAGTAGCGCGGCTCCGTTTAACGTCCAGTAAATCCTAAATCAAAGCCCAAATCATCGACGCACAATTCACACTAATTCGACTGGATAGTTCCACTCAATAGTCACTCAATAATCACCGCAGTCAGTAGCCTGACACCGCTATTTATACACCCGTTTGAATACATATATTTATAAGTCCAGAGTGTCACGATCGAACCTCTGTGTCGGTAGTTACTCGTTTTCTGTCTATATGACACTTTTATTTTTTCTTCATTTTCTATCACCTACAGAAAGGAAATAAATTTAGAAGAAAAAGCAAAATTTTGGTGGGTGCCTTCTATTACAAAGTGGGTCCATTTCACTGATGGTTGACATTTTTAATTAAATAAAAAATGTCGTCCATTCTAAATAGGTGCCATTATATAAAGCCTTTTTTATTAGAAGACTTTTCAGATAACTCTTTTCTTTAGTTATATAATGCTTGGAAAGGATTTCTAATAGTATTTACTACCGTACTTTTTCGAAAATAATACGCATTTTTACTGTAAATTGCAAGTGATAGGGTGCGTATTATAAATAGGTTTAAACAAAAATATTTGTTCGTTATTGATTAATAATAATAAATACATATTTGTTGTTCTAAAACAAGGAAGATATTATCCCAATTTTCATTTTAAATCCAACAATAATAATTGTAACATTTTTTTGTTAATAAATTTATGTTTATCAGTAACCGCATTTTTTATTTGGTGAAAAAAATAAAAAAATCTATAAAAAGGCTAATTTTGAAGAAAAGAAGATATCAAGTTAACAATTTATTGTAATTTTAATTTTCATCATCACCACTTTCTATTATAGAATCAATATCTAAATTGTCATTAAACAAATTATCATTCATGATATAATCTTCGACCTGTTCAAAATTATCTTTGGTCTCTTCATTCTCTTGCCAAAGGATGACCTCTTCAGAGTCATCCATGGCTGTCATGAGACAAAACTTCTTGAAACATCTCTTTAGAACATACTCAATGATGGAATCCCAAGATTCCTGAATCTCTTTTACAATAAGTTCAGGGTCGACAAAATGTCTTCGTAATTATTATTATTATTATTATTATTATTATTATTATTTTTTTTTTGACAAAATTTAAAGATGCGTATTATACATAGGGGTAGATATATTTCTTAATTTTTAATCATTTTTTGGTGTGCGTATTATTTATGGGTGCGTATTATGTTCGAGAAATTATGGTAAGACATTTGAAGATGATGCAATATCACCATTTTATTGCATCATCTTTATGGAACAAACAGTATTGCATCATTTTTGAAGAAATGATGAAACGTATTGTCATTCAACAAGTTTAAAAAAACAAAGTTTGCCAACTATTTGTCTTTTGGCCTTAGAGTTCTAATCCTTTCACAAAAGCTAAACCTTGGAGATATTTCACAATTGTTACCCTGAGTTAGATGAAGAGTGGGAAGAAGAAATTATTGATGAATCTTATTTCTTCTGAAGAGGATAATGAAAGCGATAATGTTAGCATTACTTATTCACAATCGGATGACGATATGAATGATGACAACAAAGCTGACAGAAACTATTCTTCAAATACTTCAATGATGAAAGAAAAGCATTATTCGAAAAATTAGTCTGAAATTTGGTCTTCTAAACCAATTGAAAGGGAACAAGGAAGAACTCCATCTTACAATGTTTTAAATCAAAATCCTGGACTTTTCACGTTTTGCAAGATCTGATTCAGTTCTTTCATCATTTACATTTTTCATGAAGTTAACTCTCCTGGAAATAATCCCAAAATGGACAAATTCTGAAGGAAACCAGGTCTTGCATGTATTGATATTACTACAAACTACTGTGAGCAATACACTGCACAGGAAACATCCAATGAGAGAAGGAAAAAAAAACATTGTGTGGTCCTAAAATGGATAGAAAAACGCGAATTGTCTATCATATTTGCCAAGAAAATGTCTGTCAAAGCCATTTCAAAGTATTCTGTACAAAATGCAATGATGAATTGTCATTAAAAAAAAAATGTAATTTGAATTAAGTTTATAATTTCAAACTAAATATAAAAATATATATTGCAATTTTTCTGTCTATATTACTGAGATGAGGTATTATGTACACTATTTACATTATTCGGACTATTGTCCTCATCTTTGTCGCCATATGGTTATGTAATTGTTTGGCAATAGGGTTTATTTCCTATATTCATTGCTTAATCGCCATATTTATTACAACGTTTCGGCCGTTGTACGCTCCGGCCTTCTTCAGGTGGTTAGAATGTCGCACTGAACCCTTTATTTCGCTCACTGGGGTAGACTGTTCTAGTTCCACGTGCCATTGGAAAATTCGTAAACTTAAGGAATCAGCACATATGCTAGGCCACAAAAATCTCATGAGCTAACCAAGCATAGAAATAAATACAATCTGGGAACCAGTAATGAGGAGTGCCAGACAAAAGTGATAATAACAACAAAAATTGCAATATGAGCTCTGGTAAAAACATGTATTGATAATAGCAAAAAATTGCAATATGAGCACTGGTAAAAAATGATTGCTGAAGACATTAGGTTTATAATACCCAGAAATTCATACACAGATGATCTCAAGGACACATGACACAGTGGATAAAGGCGTTAGCTAGATCTATTGACAAAACTCAAAGAGTTGTGAGTTCAATACCCGGTTAAGGAAGTGGAGTACTTACAGAAGGGTACTAAAAAGACATAACTGACATCCATTGAACATGGTACGTGGAACAATAGTCCGAATAATGTAAATAGTGTGCAATTTTCCTGTTTCAGTGAATAAATTTAAATTAAAATTGTTATTTCTTTGTCCATCTATAATTATACACAGCTAACATCATAACAAAAAATGAATAGTTAAAAAATATATAAATGGGTCCGTTGGATACACGTGGTGTTTTCTTGGTAGACAGACGGTTAAACAAGATGCACATCTTAGCAGAGATCAAAACTGCATTTCTTTAAAAGTTAGGAACCACCATGCCACTGACACACCGTTGAATCATCCTTATTCCCTCTGTACTCCATTAGTATAGAGGAAGTTCTACCCAGACCGCTGTATTTAGCAGACTCCTAGGAGAAGATGTTTTGATTACTACACTCTTAACCGCTTCAAGTCGAGCGGGAATCGTTTTCTATCCTACATATCCTCATAAACTGCACTTACATCTTTTTTTTCCAGCATGCAACGACCTCAATCAGTAACCTTGAGTGGCTCTTGGGTCTTGTATTAGTTGAACGTTTATTTAAAATAAAAACTGTAAAACATATTTAGTATGCTTCACTGCTGTCTTTTTTAAAGACAGACATCACAAGCGTTTCATTTATGGTGTCATGCGTAGTAGCTGTCTCCGCCATTTTTATTGTTTTCGTTTGTCATAAAACAGCGTCTGAATTTAATGAGATGGCGGAGCGATGG